GTTTGGTTATTTCATCAGCCTTCGTCCAGATCGGTCAGATTAAAGAAAAGTAACTGTCTCCCAGCCATGGCAAAAGAACAAATTGTTTCAGGGGGAGTAGGTAAATAACCAACATTCCCTAAAATAATATTTAGATTACATGGACTTTCAGACAAAAGTTTGGCAACTGTTGGCATCCTTCCTGATCACCATTTAAATTCTACTTTCATTGCTCCTACTTTAAAGAAGAGACTAGATGTACCTATTAGATGTAACCACTTTTATTCTGGAGGTGAGAAGACCCACTGGAATTGAGCAGCCAATAAATTTAAATAAATCAACATTATCATCAAAAAGCCATTAAAGGCACCATGGATGCTATACATATCAGATTGGATGCTGCAAAGAAAAGAATATCTCATTAGCAGAAGTTATCAGTGAACTTCCGTGTATTAAAGGCTAACATTTTATTTGCAAGACAGTCATAACAAACAACATAGGCTTGTCAAAAAGAAAAAGGAAACCCAGAAAGTAGAATACTTTAACTTGGAAAAATGCAATCTTTTCATCCACTTTTGCTCATGCGTGCAGAATTTAGTACACCGATCTATCTAAATGCATGAGAAGTTCTAATAGAACAGAAGTTAACTTATTCTGGCTCCTCATGATCAGTAGTAAAATAACCATCTCTACTTTTATTTATTTATTTATTTATAGTCATGATGTAGATTGTGTGCATGAGTACGTGTGGAAGGCAGCAAAATCCCTTCCACTTTCACATTCTGTCCGTACATAAATATGTGTGGTATTTGACCCAGAAAAGAAACCATCCCATAATACTCTGGCATGATTTCCTTGTACAAAGCCAACTGGACAGTAAACAACTCCTCCTCCCCCCCATGTTGAATCAAATAACCTGGGAAAATGGAAGGCAGAGAAAATAACAGGTAGTACGAATACTGCTACCACTCAAAAAAACCCACACACACACATTTGAGTGGCATGCAATGGCCATCTTTTTCTTCCCGCCGGATTGAGAGCTTCCTTTGGATCAAACAAGGAGTTTGCGGTCTGCTTGTGATCGAAGGAGTGTCCTCTCTATCTTCATCATCTCTCCAGGATGACTTGGGTCCCTCGGAACCTCCAGGCAGGTCGAATTCGGCACGATTCCATAGAGCCCCGTGGAGATGTGTCGTATCACCAAGACATCAACCTCACGTCCTGCCTGTAGTAATTTTTTACATACATACATTTTTACATACTATGCATACATACAACTATTGCTACTCTTTTATTGGATCTGCATCTTCTGAACAAATTATATCCTCCTAGTAATATATTATAATTGTGGGCTCCATCTCACCAAGTTTCAGTGATAATAGCAATGTTCATCCTCAGGTCTATTGAGAGTTTGTGGAGTGGGGAGGATTAAAATTGACTTGCAGTTCCAGCAGAATAGGTGATCATCCTGTCAACACAACCAGGGAAGGCTGCCAGTTAGGGGGGAAAACCAACAGATTTACTCTTGGCTTTGCACTCTGGCCAAGGAAACAGTGGCTCTTGTGAAAGACAGGGAGGCTTTGGATCGTGATTAATTGTTTGGTTAGTTCATCAGCCTTCCTCCGGATCCGTCAGATTAAAGAAAAAGTAACTGTCTCCCAGCCATGGCAAAAGAACAAATTGTTTCAGGGGGAGTAGGTAAATAACCAACATTCCCTAAAATAATATTTAAATTACATGGACTTTCAGACAAAAGTTGGGCAACTGTTGGCATCCTTCCTGATCACCGTTCAAATTCTACTTTCATTGCTCCTACTTTAAAGAACTTTAAAGAAGAGACTAGATGTACCTATTAGATGTAACCACTTTTATTCTGGAGGTGAGAAGACCCACTGGAATTGAGCAGCCAATAAATTTAAACAAATCAACATTATCATCAAAAAGCCATTAAAGGCACCATGGATGCTATACATATCAGATTGGATGCTGCAAAGAATAGAATCTCATTAGCAGAAATTATCAGTAGATTTCCGTGTATTAAAGGCTAACATTTTATTTGCAAGACAATCATAACAAACAACATTGGCTTGTCAAGAAGAAAAAGAAAACTCAGAAAGTGGAATACTTTAACTTGGAAAAATGCAATCTTTTCATCCACTTTTGCTCACGTGTGCAGAACGTAGTACAAAGATCTATCTAAACGCATGAGAAGTTCTAATAGAACAGAAGTTAACTTATTCTGGCTCCTAATGATCAGTAGTAAAATAACCATCTCTATGTTTATTGATTGATTGATTGATTGATTGTCATGATGTAGATTGTGTGCATGAGTACATGTGGAAGGCAGCAAAATCCCTTCCACTTTCACATTCTGTCCGTACATAAATGTGTGGTATTTTGACCCAGAAAAGAAACCATCCCATAATATTCTGGCATGATTTCCTTGTACAAAGCCCACTGGGCAGTAAATACCCCCCCCCATGTTGAATGGACAGTCTCCTCCACAAATAACCTGGGAAAATGGAAGGCGGATAAAATAATAACAGGTAGTACGAATACTGCTACCACTCGAAAAAAAACATTTTTCATCAGGGACAAAAAGGACAAAATCTAATCAAGAATGGTTAAAAGCATTTTCATGAGCATCAATGAAAAATCACTGTTTGTTTTGGAAGATTCTTGGGAGCTGAAAGTCCAGCTTAAAAAGGAAGTGATGAAACTGCACTTTAGTCTATGATCTCTCTGTTTGCAATCCATGTTTTTGAGTCAGTCCCGATGCCCGATAACCGCTTGGATGGGTCCCGGCAGTTTTATGATGGCTATATTTATGAAGGCTGCAGTGTCCTAGGATTATGTGATCAGCTTTTGCTACCTTCTGACAAGCAAAATCAATGGGAAATCCAGATTCACTTAACAACTGTTACTTGCTTAACAAATGCAATGATTCACTTAACAACTGTGGCAAGAAAAGTTGTAAAAGGGGGCAAATTCACTTAACAAATGTTATACCTAACAACATAAATTTTGGGACCCATTGTGGCTGTAACTCGAGGACTGTCTGTAAAGAGAACAGGCTCTTCTTTCTACAAAATCCATGCTCGAGGGAAAGCATGTATGCAAGCCTAGGTCCCAAGCTTCCTCCATTTCTTTTGGTGTGATTGTCAAGGGGATCTTTGCATTCATGGCCATTATTTCCCCTTCGATTTAACGGATTTTTACATACGTCATGTTTTTCCTAGATATCATCACATGCTCTTTTTGTACAGCCCTTAACTCTGTTCTTTGTGGAAGTTCATGTGAAAATTATTAAATCAAACTCCTGCAGAAAAACCACCAAATTTGGTTCCTTCCATAAAAAAGTAATTCGTTTAGTAAATCTTCTACTGAATTTCAATTCCTCTTGGATCTGGGATCACTTTGGAATCATACAACTGTGGGGCTGGAAGGGGCCAAAAGGAATAGCCACTACAATTCTCTGCAATGCCTTGGAAAATCAGTTAAACCCCCACCCCCCCAAGTAATGGTTGCCCAGCCTTTGGAATATCCGAGATGGAGAACCCACAACTTCCACAAGTAGACTGCACCATTGTTGTACAAATCTTACCATTATTAAGTTTTTTCTTATAGTTAAACAAAATTTAATTACAGGTAGTACTTGCTTAACCACCTGTCATTTTGCCAGGATACTTACAACCATAATTCTGGGCTCAATTATAGTAGTAAATTGAGGACTACCTATATCCGTGATGGCAAACCAATGGCATGCGTGCCACAGGTGGCACATGTAGCCATATCAGTGGGCATGCCAGCTCAGCTCTGGCGTGCATGCGCATGCCGGCCAGCTGATTTTCAGGCCTTCTGGGCCCACCAGAAGTAGGGAAACAGGCTGTTTCCTGCCTCCAGAGGGCCTGGGGGTGGCGTGAGGAAGGCCCATTATTCTTTCTCACCTGGCTCCAGATCCTCTCTATGCATCTGGGAAGGGCGAAAACAGCCTTTCTCACTCCCTCGGAGGCCCTCTGGAGGCCTGAAAGGGCCCATTTCCCAACTCCTGATGGGACAGGAAGTGACATTTTTTGCTGCCCCCAGCCTCTAGAGGCCTCTCTAGGAGTCTCTGGAGGCTGGGGACAGCAAAAAATGTCACTTCCTGTCCCACAGGGAGTTGGGAAATGGGCCCTTTCAGGCCTCCGAGGGAGTGGGAAAGGCTGTTTTTGCCCTTCCCAGATGCAGAGAGGATCTGGAGCCAGGTAAGAAAAAAGAACTGGCCTACCGGGCCACCACATGCCAGAAGCTGGAGGGGGTAGGGGGTGTTGCGCATGCAGGGCAGGGCACATAATTATGGGTATGGGCACACGTGTGCGCAAATCTCCATCGCCGCCCCCCCCTCTTGGCACGCAATTGCAAAAAGGTTAGCCATCACTGACCTATATTGTCAATATATACCTGTTATTTCTAGTCCTAGTTTTTGTGTCCATGGAAAATATATCTTAATCATCTTCTCTGAAGCTTCTCTTTAGCCATCTGAATACAGCTATCATGTCTCCTCAAACTCGTTTCCTCAGATGAATATTCCAAGCTCCTCCCCATGGAATCCCTGGTATGAAAATGTCTTTGCAGCCTGAGAGAGAGATGTTGAGGAAATAACCATGATCCAGTTGACATGACCCATTACCATTTTTGGAGCACCCAGACCCAGACTTAAAGCATATTTAAGACAACCATGACCTGGATGACCGAGAATCTCCATGGACTCAGTGAAGAATCCAACTTTTTCTAAGAGTACAATCTGCCCTACAGCTTTTTCTATTTATTTCTGTTCTGTTGAAGTCTTTTTATTCATCTTTTCTGCTTGATCTTTCCTGCTGAGTGGATTCCTGAAGAGTTGATCTTGTTTCAAGGGGCTACATTACCAAAAAATTGACTTCCTGAAGTGGGTTTGTCCCCCTAGAATAGATGGACTCAAATATGGGGTTTGTCAGGTTTCGGTGCTATCTTGAATAAACTTCATTCTCAAGTGCAAACTGTCTAATGAATCATTTTTATTTTAAGAATAGCAATATCCGACATTTCTGATTCAAATTGCAGCCAAACTGGCCCCTCCTTCCAACCCCCTCCTCTTCCGCTCTCCAACCCCAATGTCCCATTGGCCATCATACAGATCCATCTCTACATCCCGGCACGTTCTTTTCACAGGAATGTAGCCCCCATCCTCGTCTCCCAGGAAACACTATCTGTAACATACAAAACTAGGTAAAAGTTCATCTTGTTATGTCAGCGCTGGAAGAAAGCCTAATTTGGAACGCTGACATCCGGCCCCTCTCCCTTCACTTCTGCGACATCACCTATCCCATAGGGAAAACACAACAAGATTAGTCTCATCAGCCCCTCCCTGGCTGTGCACCCCCCCCTCCCGGCTTTCCCGGGTGGTCTGCATGGAATTTTGCTATAAGGCGATCAGCTTGAATGTTTGCGCTCTTCACCCAGGAAGCCTCTGACAATGGGTAACCCTTCCATTTAATTAAGTACTGAAGGCGCCCCCTGTGCCATCTTGAATCAAGAATCCGCTGCACTTCGTAGTGCGTTTGGCCCCCAACAACCAGGGGCCCAGGGGGTTCACGTGGCGTTGGCCTTAAAGTAGACCCTACTACAGGTTTTAGAAGGCTACTGTGAAAAACGGGGTGAATTTTCCCCAAAAGCCGTGGCAACTGCAATTGCACTGTAACGGGGTTGATTATTTTTATTATAGGAAATGGTCCTATAAATTTTGGGCCCAATTTCCTGCTCGGGAGTCTAAGTCTCAAGTACTTGGTGGAGAGGTAAACTTTCTCTCCCAGCTGAAATGGTCTTTGGGGAGTTCGGTGCTTGTCTGCTTGTTCCTTATAAGATTGAGCCGCCTTTGCCAGCGCCCTCTTAACATTTTCCCAAGTTTGTCTCAACATTGCCATCCAGTCGGTCAAACTGACTGAGAAAGGGGGCTCCCTCGGGTATTCTGGCATGGGAACAAAATCCATGCCACTCACTATTTTGAACGGGGTTAGCCCCGTGCTGCTGTGGACAGCATTATTATATGCAACCTCCGCAAAAGATAGGAGGTCTGCCCAATTGGACTGCTGGTAGTCGATGTAGCATCTTAAATACTGTTCTATCATAGCATTCAGTCTTTCTGCCTCGTCTCTCATCCTGGGGTGGGGAGGTGCTGCCTTGTCTGGGCTTCGCTGCCATTCCCATCCCCAGCTCGCCCTTCCCAATTCACTTAGGGGTTTTTCTTTATCTTTTACATTTGCAAAAGGAAATTCCGCCTCTAAGGCTTTTGGCACAGTCCCCGGGTACTTATCTGCCTCACGTTTCTTTGCTTGAAGTTCTGCGGGGAGGGAAGGTGGAGAAAGTTGAACCTTTGTATTTTCCAAGTTGGCTGGAATCACAACCGCTTCTGCTCCTCCCGTTTCTTGAAGCAGGCTTTCCTCCGAGAGCTTGGCTTCAGCCATAGTCCGTCCGACCAGATGTCTGGGAGGGAATGGGATGATTTAAACTCAGCCAGCCTGGATTTGGAGGAGAGTTTGGCTGTCTGTCAGGTTTCGGTGCTATCTTGAATAAACTTCATTCTCAAGTGCAAACTGTCTAATGAATCATTTTTATTTTAAGAATAGCAATATCCGACATTTCTGATTCAAATTGCAGCCAAACTGGCCCCTCCTTCCAACCCCCTCCTCTTCCGCTCTCCAACCCCAATGTCCCATTGGCCATCATACAGATCCATCTCTACATCCCGGCACGTTCTTTTCACAGGAATGTAGCCCCCATCCTCGTCTCCCAGGAAACACTATCTGTAACATACAAAACTAGGTAAAAGTTCATCTTGTTATGTCAGCGCTGGAAGAAAGCCTAATTTGGAACGCTGACAGGGTTCAGTATTGCTGACCATGATGACAGGATCAAATAGTGAAAAAAAAACATGGCAGGAGACTATAAAATTACAGGTTCTAAGAGTTTATTAGTGAAGTTTCAAGACGCATAAAGTGTTTCTTCCTCAAAACATGTTGGGAAGCTCAAGTGGTGAGGAATAATTGCCTTGGCAACTGCTCAGAAAGAAGTTGTCTTTCTGTGGCTGATCTCACTTCTCTTTCTCCTGGTCAAAAGATAACAAAGGAAAATAACAAGCTTTCTTTAGCTAAATCTTAAGACGAAAGAAAAGAATACGGGCAGTATTTTGTGGGAATTAACAGAACTCTGCAGATTGAAATGCCTTCTAAATATGATAAACACATGTGAATTCTGTTTTATATAGATTTTTTTTAATAAATTAAGAGGGAAGCAAGGAAGCCCAGCCCCCCCCCACCCCCGCTGTAGAAAAGATAGAAATAGTGATGGGCAGACAGTAGGAAACTAACAGCTTAATTCATATTTTGCATCCCCTTTTCCACATCATGACGAGGAAGAAGAAAAATGCAGGTCAAAGTAGGCAATGGAAGACCTGGCTGCTCTTAATGAATTCAAATATTTAGGACCAGGATTATTCTGAAGCTCCTTTCATGGATTTATATGGTTTCTTCTGTGGGCATTTTTTATGAGAACTATGCAGGGGTGAAATGCTCCCACTTTGGGCCGGATCGCTCGATCCGGTAGCAATGGCGGCGGGTGGTTCGGAGAACCGGTAGCAAAAATCCCTGCGGCCACCATCCCCTCCACCATGCCCAGCTGAGCCCACGATCATCAGGGGTTTTTTTTTACTTTTAAAAGCATTTTTTCTACAACTTCCGCTGAAAAAATGCTTTTAAAAGTAAAAAAAAAGCCTCTGATGATCGTGCGGCTCAGCTGGGATCGTCAGAGCCTTTTCAAAGCATTTTTTAAACCACCTCTTCCGATGAAGAGGTTGCAGAAAAAAATGCTTTAAAAGTCTCTCTGACAATCCCAGCCGAGTTGCCTGAGCGTCAGATATTTTTTTAAAAGCTTATCTGACGATTAGGCAACTCAGCTGGAATCGTCAGAGACTTTTAAAGCATTTTTTCTGCAACCTCTTCAGCGGAAGAGGTGGTTTAAAATATGCTTTGAAAAGGCTCTGACGATCCCAGCTTTTTTTTTGCATTTGCAGAAAAAATACTTTGAAAGTTAAAAAAAAAAGTTTTTTGGGTGGGAAATGTGACGCCCACCCAGTCACATTACCCACCACCACCAAGCCACGCCCACAGAACCAGTAGTAACAAATTTTACATTTCACCCCTGGAACTATGGTATACTTTACAAGTAAACTCTAAATCTCTAAAATCTCTTTCCTGGCCTATTTTAAAATGTTAGAAATGAGCCTGGAAATCTCAGATCATCAGCCTTACTGTTACATCCGCTTAGCACTGATGTAGGCATTTTTACACAGGAAATCTGTCCTTCATGATTTATTTTTAAGAGTCTATGCTGGCATATTTCTGAAGTTTTTATATTTGCTGTTGTTTCATTTCATGGCTTTTATATTTCAACTGGTTTTTAATTTTTTTAAAAAAGATATTAAGAAATATTCAACTTTTGCAACCCTTCGTTTGTATCCCCAGAACAATTTTGAAAGTTGAATGAGTGAAACTCATTGGATCATTTTATGGAGACACCATGTTCACCACTCAAAATTTGGTTGCCAAAATAGCTCATGAACTGAATGAGTTTAAACTTCTTACAATAAACCTACTTACCTGACAAGGTATCCCCAGTTGGATCCTCCTAAAAGGAAGCTCATTAGGACTGGATCGATCTCCTCTTCCCTGGAGTTCTGCTGAGAACTCCCTCATGAATGGCTCCTGCAACTGAAAAAACAGCCTGATTTATGATCCACTTTCAAATAACAGTAAACATGTTAGTTTGCTTGCCTTACCTTTTTCCTCTCCAATTGTACTTTTCCAACCCAAATCAAAATGAAAGAACTTGAGAACTCCTGTTCTGTGGCTGGCTGCTATTTCTAGATAAATCCAAACCACTTTTGTGAAATACTTCATTGCTTCTTTTTATTTCATTTCCTTCTGATCAGGAGCTGCTTCTTTATTTTCGCCCCTTCACTTGACAAGTGTGGCCTTTCACTCTATATGGATATAGTTATGCCTGTTCTATATTTTGCTACACAAATATATTCTTTTAGATTTAAGGACCTTTATTTCTAGAGGGAGACAGGATCAATCTCTTCCATTTGGCATGGCTTCTCTGTGCCTCTTAAAGTGCAAAGGCCACCAGGCTGGCAATTCAGGAAGAAACTTTGTGATAAAAACAGAGATGCTTTTTGGGGTGAAATGGACCATTTGAACATTGTGACTACTAATAAAGGCAATTTGCATACATTTTTTTCTCATCTCAAATTCCCAATCAGGTTTAATTATAAATGTTTTAATGTCATCTGCAATCTACAGAAGGATGAGCTGAACTAGAGGATTTGTATTGAAATGTGTGGGAAGGATATCATATGCATCCTTACACATTCTGCCTTCTACAGTTCAAAAGCACAAATCAGAGTAGGCCCTAGACCAGCGGTTCTCAACCTGGGGGTCACGACCCCTTTGGGGGTCGAACGGCCATTTCACAGGGGTCGCCAAAGCCCTCTCTCGCCCCCCCCCACGCCTTCACTCATCCTCACTCTCTGCTCTGTTGGCCGTTCACTTACCCCGCCCACTCCCAATCTATTGCTGCCTCCTGAGTCCCAGCTGATGGCTAGAGGAAAAAAAAAACTTTAAATTCTTGCCGCGGGGCTTCAAAGCCCGCCCCTATTTATTGCCAATAAATAGTGGTGGGCGAGGGGCGGGCGAGCCAGCAATTTAACAAATGGTTCGGTGTTTTTTTGTAATTTTATTGGCCCGCAGAGCTTCAGCATAGGCTAATTAGCCCTTGATTAGATCGGCTCCCGACTCTCAGCTGATTTGCTCTCAGCTGTTTTGCTCAGGGCTCTGCCGCTTGCTGGAGCAGATTTTTTTTCCTCTAGCTATGCTGAAAAACGAAACTGAAAGTAAAGCAGGCTGTTGGCTTTGCTGTTAAGTTGGAAAATTAGGCAGGCAGATTTCTTTTTTCTCACCAAAAAAGGTAGGTGCAAACAATGGGAAATTTAGGGAAAAAGTGGAGAGTTCAAGATTTTAAAACACAAAAGAAAAAGAGCTCTATTAAACTAGGGAATTGTAATAATTGAGATACTATTAATTGTATATTGTGTTGAAAGCAGAAATGGTTAAGTTGTGGTTTGGAGGAATATATGGGGGAAATTATTTGGTTTATTATTATTGGTAAATATAATTAATGGATTTGTAAGAAATTGGATTGCATGGAAATAATTGGAATATTCATGTTCATATTGATTAATATACAAAAAAGGTAGTTATATAACTAATTGATTTATATTAAAATGTTGAATTTATATTAAACAACTAATATTACATAATTAACCAATGTGAGGATGGATATAAAAATAGATGACAATGGGAAGGGGTATAATATAGAATAGAAGGGAAAAATTGAATTTGATTAAGATTAGAGATGAGGATGAGGGTAATATTGGTTTTTTACAAAAATAGATGAGGAATAAATATGGCAAAAAGGAAATATAGAAATTGTAAATTTAATTGAAATGACTAAACACTGTTTAAATTTGTGAACCGGCCAAATACTCTGTTCAAAGAAAATACATTGTATGTTTGTATGTGTGTTTCTAATTATTGTTATTTGTTCTCTTTTATTCTTTAAAGTTTAACAATTCATTCTTTATCTTAATATCTTTATATTTGTTTGGGGTTGGCTTTCTTCCCTTTCATCTTTTTTATTGTACAGCAATCTTTCTCCTCAAACCTACCACCTCTCTTTTCTTTCCTTCTTACTTTCTCTTCCTCCCCCTCTTCTTCTCCTCCCTACTTCCTCTTCCTTTCTCCTTCTCCTCTCTTCCTCCCTCTCTTACCCTCACTCCTACTCTAATTTCCCTTCCCTTCCTTCATCCCTCTCTATTGCTGTATCCTTTTATGAATATGGACGACTCAGAGGGCTGAAAAAGTTATTTCTGACTGGTCCTCGCACTTTTGACCAGTCCTCGAACTTACGACTGTCCTCACATTTTACGTTTTTGCCCTATCTTGTCACCATGGTGAAGAGAAGCAGTTGTGAAATGAGTGACACAGTTGTTAAGAATGCTACAACGGGCATAAATGATGACCAGTCATAAATGCAAAGACCGGTCAAAAGTGCGAGGACCTGTCAGAAAACACTTTTTTCAGCCCTCTGGGTAGTCCTTTTGTGCATATGGACTACTCAGAAGGCTGAAAAAGTTATTTTTGACTGGTCCTCGCACTTTTGACCAGATCTCGAATTTATGACTATCCTCACATTTTACGTTTTTTGCCCTATCTTGTCACCATGGTGAAAAGAAGCAGTTGTGAAATGAGTGACATGGTTGTTAAGAATGCTGCACGGGCATAAATGTGAGGATGGTCGTAAGTGTGAGGACCAGTCAAAAGTGCGAGGACCTGTCAGAAATGACTTTTTTCAGCCCTCTGAGTAGTCCCTAAACACATAGCCATGGCCACCCGGTCACATGACCAGCTAGCCATACCCACCCAGTCACATGACGTCCAAGCCATGCCCACAAAATAAGCCACGCCCACAGAACCGGTAGTAAAAAAATTTAGAACACACCCCTGGTTGGGGGTCACCACATGAGGAACTGTATTAAAGGGTCGCGGCATTAGGAAGGTTGAGAACCACTGCCCTAGACAAAGACCAAAGTGCAAAGGGAAACAACAAATGTAATACTGTGCAAGATTCCTCCTAATCTGGCCATAACCTGAGATCTCTTTGATCCCGAGATCTCTTTGATCAAATACTAAAATGGGCCTTTCTCCCGTTTTCAGTGAACAAATGCTAAACCACATGTCCGCAGGGTGCCTGAACTGCAGCCATTTCTGTCATGGTGGCTAACCAGATGCTTGTGCTACTCTCAAATACGTTCTGCTGAAACTGAAAAATGCAGGTAACTATATTCAAGCTGTGATTTGGTAAAGTATTCTACTGGATATCATTCCTTTCTGAAGTGATTGTGCTTATTGGAGACAAAAACCTTGAAGAGGAGGGGAAAAGGGCTCTCCATCTTTTTGCTCCTTAACATGGGTTTTCAATTAACAGCTTAATTGAATTTGGACCATATATATATAACTTTCCTCTTTTACTTAAATTTTTTTTTGTCATTGGTTGTCGCTTCTTTGGATTTTGAAATTGCAGCTACATACAGGTAGTCCTCAATGTACAATCACAATTGAGCCCAAAATTTCTGTCCCTGAGACATTGGTTAAATGAGTTTTGCTCCATTTTACGACCTTTCTTGCCACAGTTGTCAAGTGAATCGCTGCAGTTGATAGGTTTGGTAACCCGGTTGTTAAGTGAATCTGGCTTCCCCATTGATTTTGCTTGTCCAAAGTTCGCCAAAGGGGACACAACTGCCATAAATGAGTCAATTACCAAACATCTGAATTTTGATCTGATCAGGGGGATGCTACAAAGGTTGGTAACTGTGAAAAACGGTTGTAAGTCCCTTTCTTTTAATGACACTGTAACTTTGAATGGTCACTAAAGGAACATGATGCACTCTGACAATAAAGATTTGAATTTGAATTTGAACTGCTATAAGTCATATACTTGTCCTTGTTTCCTGCTTCTTCCAGAACAAAACAAAAAGATTTATCTAAGAGGGAAAAAAGAACAATATAACTTTTGAACATCTGATCTAAGTCCTTCCTAGGGAATTTTCACCAACTGAAACAAGAAGGGTTTGCCTGAAAAGGAAAAAATCAAAATATGAGAAGGTCCAGAATAGCCTGCTCTGACTTCTTCCTCTTCTTCATGTCTGCGATTTCTTAGAGGCTGCGAATCCCAAGATGAAGCTCCCTCACCTGCCGGCCCTTTGCCAGCTTTTCCGGGGCGGCTGCGGGGCCGAGGAGGCAGCCTTCGGCCAGGGCCACCGCCTGGGCGCAGCTCTCGGCCCCGCACTCCCTCAGCCAGCCCGCCAGCTCCGGGGGCAGCAGGGCCAGCAGCTGCTCCAGCACCACCAGGTCCAGCATCTCGGCTTTGCTGCTCCGCTCGGGCCGCAGCCACCCCCGACACAGCCCGTACAGGCGGCTGCAAAGCGCCCGGGGCCCCTCGGCCTCCCGGGAGCCGCAGCTGCGGAAGCGCCAGCGCTCAGCCTCGGGGCTGCGGGGTTCCTCTGGGAGGCTGCTCCCTGCCTGAAGGGGAAAACCCCGGGCCTCCATTCCGTCTCCGGCTTCAGCGCAGCCCCAACGGGGGAAACTCCCTCCGAGGCCGCCGCCTTCGGTCACGGCGGACCCTCCCCCTCCGCTGCTTCACGGGGGGGGGAGAAGTGGGGGCTCCGCTCCCTCAGTGTTTCTGAGGCGAAGAAGAGCGGCTGCAAGTCTCTCCCGCCAAAATTTCTCCCGCCCTTCTATCCTCACAGAATCTTGGTCAGAGAGTGCTACCTCCTAGAGAGGCAACACTCTATAAGCACCTTGGTTTACTGACTTTGGCTAGAGCGTCTCCTAAGGCAACATACTGCCTCTGCTCGGCATGGAGGGCTGGAAAAGTCTACTGCGCATGCCGTGTTCCGTAATACTGATAACTTTATTGTGATTTTTTTTTTACGCTTAAAAAGTCTTCCCAGGTTCCCTATTGGGGAAGTACAGGTAGTCCTCGACTTACAACCGTTAGTTTACTCACCATTCGAAGTTACAACGGCTCTGAAAATTATGACCTGTGACTGTTTTTCACTTCCCACCTTTGCAGCATCCCCCTGAACATGTGATCAAAATTCAGATGCTTGACAATTGACTCATATTTATGACGGTGGCTGTATCCCAGGGTAGAGTGATCCCCTTTGGCAACTTTCTGACGAGCAAAGTCAATGGGGAAGTCAGATTCACTTAATGACCGGGTTGCTAATTTATCAACTCCGGTGATTCACGTAATAACCGTGGCAAGAAAGGACATAAAATCGGGCAAAATTCACTTAAACGTCTCAGGAACAAAAATTTGGTGCTCAATTATGGCCGTAAGTCGAGGACCATCTGTATTTCGCCAGGGAGTGAGAAGGGGATGCCCGTGTGAATATGAAGTATTGCTTCTAAAATAATGTTTCATTATAACTTTCGCATAAGGAATTAGAAAGTTAAGGAACCTTTTGAAAAATTAGTTAAAACAGTATTGTTTTTACAGTTAACAATGTGGTTCAGAAAAGTCTAGAAAGAAAGGGGAGGTGCTTCCTGAGCAATAGGTTAACTGACACATTTCAAAATATAACCAATTTATGCAAAAGAGCAATGGAAAGTTAGGGTTTATGCTGTGATGCATAATCACCAGTGGTGGGTTGCCCTCGGTTCGCACCGATTCTATAGAACCAGTAGTAAAACCGGTGGAAGGCTCCGCCCACCAATCCCGTCATCAAAATGCTTCTGCGCATGTGCAGTAGAGTGTGTGCGCACGCAAACTGCCCCGCTGCGAACCGATAAGTAAACCCACCCAATAATCACACATCATGTTGGTAGGGAGTTTCAGGGGAATATTGTTAATAGGCGCTCTGGATACATTGTGAGCTTGATAATACCCAGCCAATGGGGAAACGACTATGTTGAGCATCGGGTAAAAGGATATAAAAACCTGTTGCATGCTTTGATCTGGGTCCACCTCATGTGCACCCATCTTTGCAAATACGTTAATAAATGTTTGCTACTTTTTGGTACCAGATTGCCTTCATTTATTGTTTGATTCCTATTTCCAACACCAGGGTGTGGAGGAGAACTACGGGACCAATGATGATGGGCACAGCAGAGGTAGAGCAAGGCTGGAATAAGCAAAGTGCCTTTGGATGGGACCTGGTTTGATTGCTGCTTCTCGGTACCTGGGATTTCTCTTCCCAGAATCCTCTTGGAAATATGGATGTGTTCCTGGGATAGGTGCAATTTCTGCTTTATATAGTTTTTGGCAATAAATTAAGAGGGGAATCAAGGAAACCATCAGTCCTCTGGCTGGAAAAGATAATGAGGTGGTGATGGGCAACAGGGAGGAAACTGAAGGGCTCAGTTCCTTAATTCCAGCTGGCTGGGGAATTCTGGGAGTTGAAGTCCACAAGTCTTAGTTGCCAAGGTTGGAGGATCACAGGTGAACACAGAACCTCTGGGGTTATAAGAGCTGTGGTGGCGCAGTGGTTAGAATGCAGTACTGCAGGCTACTTCTGCTGACTGCCTGCAATTTGGCAGTTTAAATTTCACCAGGCTCAGCTTCCATCTTCTGAGGTCGGTAAAATGAGGACCCAGATTGTTGGGAGCAATAGGCTGACTCTGTAAACCTCTTACGAGAGGGATGTAAAGCACTGTGAAGCAGTATATAAGTCTAAGTGCTATTGCTATAAGAAATCTTCCAACACTGAAGTCATTTTTCAGAGGGTTCCTCACACTTCATCCCAGTTTGATTGCAAATCCCCAGAAAACATACAGATTTTGTAGAAACTCCCGTGTTAAATCAGGTGGGCACATTTTAAAAAATATATCTATGGTCCTAGCTCACACACACAGGTGCAACGGATCTTTTATTCACAAATCTGATTGGTGTGTTCCATATGACCCATCTCAGGTCACCAATCTGAAACTTGGGAGAATTTTGCCCTCTCCTGCTGCAGTTTGATTACTGAAACCTTCTCGATTTAAAAAAAAAAAGAGTGCCTTTCCAACAGCAAAGCCCATATGTGTTTAAGCACAGATGGATGATCTTCAGAGAAGATACAGGTATGATGAGGTGGAAGAGGGGAACTCTGGGTGTCAGCGATAGTCATAGAGGCGAGAGATGGCAATATGGCTGAACATGAGGAGGGTGGGGCCCCTTCACTCTCTCACAGTGGTGGGGCGTCCAGGTCAAATAATTGCAATGCAGGCCACTGTTCAAACTTATGACAGTGCCGATCAAGTAGTATTTATGATGGATCCTTGTATTTAGTCACAACATCTCTGCAGTCACATGATCATGATCCAGGCATTCAGAGACTAGCTTGCAATTACAAGGTAACAGCATCCCACGGTCCAGGGGTGAAATGCTGCCGATTCAGACCGGATCGCCTGATCCGGTAGCGATGGCGGCGAGTGGTTCAGAGAACTGATAGCAAAAATCCCTGCCCCCCCCATACCCAGCTGAGTCACGCAATCATCAGAGGCTTTTTTTTTTAAAGCATTTTTTCTACAACCTCTTCGGCCGAAAAAATGCTTTTAAAAGTTAAAAAAAGCCTCTGATGCTCGTGCGGCTCAGCTGGGATCGTCAGAGGCTTTTAAAAGCATTTTTTTTTACAACATCTTCAGCTGAAGAGGTTGTAGAAAAAATGGTTTTAAAAGTAAAAAAAAAAAAGTTGGCCACGCCAACCCAGTCACATTACCCGCCACCAAGCCACGCCCACAGAACCGGTAGTAACAAATTTTACATTTCACCACTGCCACGGTCCCTTGATTACTATTTGCAATCTTTACTGCTGGTTTCTGAGAAGCAAAGTCAATGGGGAAACCAGCAGGAAGTCACAAATGGGTGATTACATGACATCATGCTTAACAACCCTTAATACATGATAACCGTCCAGGAAAAACTCGCAGCCTGGTCACCTGGACATTTCTTTTATCAATCAAGAGAACAACTTTCTCACCAATTCAGTGAGCATGAGAAACTTTCTGCTGTAAGAGAGAGACTCGGGATAACATCCTTCCAAAAGTGACAGGATACATTGTTTCTATTTCTGCAACTATTTGTTTATTTATTTATTTATGTTTGTTTATTGAATTTATATTGCCACCTATTTGCACATGGTGACTCAAGGCAGCTTACAGAATATAAAATCTCATTTAAAACAATAACACTAATAAAAAAGAATCAAATTAATATAATAAAATCACCCCTCACCCTGGAGACAGCAGATCACATGAGCCTTTTAATGGCCTCCATCACACTCTCAGTTCCCCAGGCCCGCTGGCAGAACCAGGTCTTCAGCGCCTTCCGGAAGAGTGTTAGAGTGGGGTACATTCTAACCTCTGGGGGGAATGATGTTCCAGAGAGAGGGAGCCATCACAGAGAAGGCCCTTCTTCTGGATCCCACCAGGTGTATCTCTCTAGGTGGATGGGACTCGCAGCATTCCCTGCCTCCCCGCTCTGATGGGTCGAGTAGATGTGACCGGCAAGAGACGGTCCCTCAGATTATCTGATCCCAAGCCATGAAGGGCTTTAAAAGTGACAACCAGCACCTTGAATTGCACCTGGAAGCAAATCGGCAGCCAATGCAGTTCCCTTAGAAGAGGTGATACATGTGCACATCGGGGTCTGCACAAAACCATGCGGGCCGCTGCATTTTGCACCAACTGGAGCTTCCAAATGCTCTTCAAGGGCAGCCCCATGTAGAGCTCATTGCAATAGTCAAGACGGGAAGTGACTAGGGCAGTGATGGCTAACCTTTTTGCCGTTGTGTGCCAAAAGCGGGGGGGAACATGGGGGGGGTCGCGAGTGCCTGTGCCCACATCCATAATTCAATGCGCCTCGCCCTCCCGCGCATGTGCACGTGACCCCCCCTTCCCGTGCTTTTGGCACATGATGGCACGGTGGGCCCAGTAGGCCCATTTTCCCCTCTCCCCAGGCTCCAGAGGCTTTCTAGGAGCCTGGGGAGGGCAAAATCAGCCTTCCCCATCTCCCCGGAAGCCTTCCGGAGACTGGAAACAGCCAGTTTCCCGACTTCCGGTGGACTGGAAGGCCTGAAAATCAGTTGGCTGGTGCGCGCATGCACGCTGGAGCTGAGCTAAGGCAACACTTGCGTGCCCACCAATATGGCTCCACGTGCCACCTGTGGCACCCGTGCCATAGGTTCGCCATCACAAGACTAGGGCATGAGTGATGTGAGTAGGGATTGTTGATCCAGGAAAGGGCATAACTGGTGCACAACCCGCAGTTGCACAAAAGCTCTCCTGGCCACGACCACCATCTGCTCTTCAAGCAGGAGTCATGAGTCCAGGAGAAACCCCAGATTACACACAGGGTCTGTTTGGCGTAGTGCCACCCCATCCAAAACCCAAAGATGGCAATTCTCCCTGAGCCAACGAACACCAAATCCAGAGCCACTTAGTCTTGCCAGGGTTTAATTTCAACCCGCTGCTCCCCAACCAGCCCCTAACAGCCTCCAGGTACTGCGAGAGGGAGGACAAAGCATCACTTAACTCACCATGGGCCGAGACATACAGCCAAGTATCATCAGCATATTGGCGATACCTCAGTCCATGGTGGCAGATGATCTCACTCAGCGGCTTCATATAAATGTTAAACAGGAGCGGAGAGAGTACCAAGCCCTGCGGAACCCCACAAAGCAGTGGGCAAGAGCTGGATCTCTCCCCTTCTATCAACACTGACTGAGAGCGGCCGCAGAGGAAGGAAGTGAACCAGGATAGCACAAGGCCTCCCACTCCATCCCCTGAAGCCGCTCCAGAATACTACAGTCAATGGTATTGAAAGCTGCCGAGAGGTGAAGTAGAGCAAGGATGGATGCACTACCCCCACCCCACTCCCACCAGAGATCATCCAGACGTGCGACCAATGCTATTTCTGTCCCAAATCCAGGCCTGAATCCTGACTGATAGGGATCAAGATCATCTGTTTCATCCAGAAACCTCTGGAGCTACCGTGCAACCACCTCTCAACATCCTTTCCCAAAAAGGGAAGATTGGAGACAGGTCGGAAATTATCCAACAGGGTGGAATCCAACAATGGCTTCTTAAGAAGAGGGTGGACCACAGCCTCCTTAGAAGAGGCTCACCTTAAAGAGGGTCGCTGGGCGATTAACTGCAGATGCAATTAGTGTGAAGTATTTACACTTCACCGCATGAATTGCCACAAGGTAGGCCTTAATAGCAGCTCTTACCAGTGTTCGATCGAGTTAATGTCTTGTCTTCTGCCAGCGGCGTTCTAGACGTCTCATGTATTTCATCCCACTCAGTTCCTCTGAATACTACGCATATCTCACCCACCAAGGAGAAAGCCACTCCTCCCGCCCCCCAACTCTCACCCAGGGGAAAGGGACCAACATACTCGCCTCTCACCCAACTTTCTGTTCCGGCCCCAGGATTCCCCAAGCAGAAGCAAGATTGCAGAAGGTAGCTAAAAGTAGCTATCATATTTTACGTATTGTAAGATCGCTGCTTGTACCAAAGCTCTTTCCACACTCAGTGCATTTATATGGTTTCTCCCCTATATGGGTCCTTTTATGATGAACAAGGTCTTTGTTCCCAATGAAGGGTTTCCCACACTCCAAGCATTGATATGGTTTCTCACCAGCATGATAAATAAGAATATTGTTTCTATGGAAGGTCTTATTACACTTCACACATTTATATGGTTTTTCATCCGTGTGGGTTCTTCGATGGAATGCAAGGGCACTGCTGTTATTAAAGCTCTTCCCACACTCAGAGCATTTATGCGGTTTCTGTGTTGGGTGAAATCCTTCAGTAGAACTCTGATTGTGGTTCAGACTAAAATTCTTTCCAGATTTTAGAAACATATGTGACTTATTTTTCCTACAAAATTGTTCAGGTACATTAAGAGAGAAGTAAAGATCGATACATTCTTCATGTTGTCTATATTTATATTGTTTCCATTTAGTTTGGGTTTTGCAATAGTTATTTAAATCAAATTTATGTTGATCTCTGTTGTCACATTCTGGGTATTTTCCCTTTCTTTTCAGATCTGCCTGGATCAGGAAGTTATGGAGTTCAACATATAGAGGACATTTCTCCTCTCCATTCCTTGAGTCGGTTCTGTCTTGCTTTCTTTGTTTCCCTTGCTTTTCAATCATCAGTTTTTCCACCTCCTGCTTGTTTGCAATGGCACTTCCCATGACTCCTTGTCATGCTCGTTCTCTTGCTCATAACCTTTGAAGAAAAAAAAAATCTGTTATGAATTGTATGCAGAAACTGAGACAACACAAACCATTAACTGTATCTGTAATTCATCGTTATTAAGAGTGTCTCTCTTTTATTGAGATATTTGATTGTGAATCTATTAACAGCGATTAGAATTGTGTTTGCTAAAAATTGGAAAAATGAGAAAATGCCAACGCAAGACGAAGTTATTAAGAAAATAATGGAATGTGCAGAAATGAGTAAATTGACATTTGAAATTAGAGAACAAGAAGATAAACATTAAATTATAAGATATGGGATCTATTTTACCAATGGTTAGCTAAAAAGACATGGAAATGAAATATGGTAGAGATTTTTCCAATGCAAGAAATGTACAATTATATAAAATACAATATAAAGATGTACTGTTATTGGAATGATTTAGGAGAATGAAGGGCATAATACAAATTAACTTAAATCTTAGATTATTTTGTATGAAATGAGGGAAGAAACAGCCATAGTTAAACATATGATTAATGAGGATAACAATACATAGATATATATGAACAGAGTGAAGATGCACAAAAGACTTGTAACCAGCCGACACACTGTTTGTATTTTCATTGAAGATGGTTTTTTATTTGTTTTTTATGTATTTGTTTAAAAATAAGTTTTTGTCAACAAAAAAAAAAAAGTGTTGTATTCTTTGATCAAAATAAACGGGGCTAATTAATGTTGAAAAAAATCCTTCCCATGCTGCTTCTTTTCAAGGAGCTTCTTGCTTTTAAGATGTCTCTTTAAGAGGAACAAATACATCAAACTTTGCTGGCACCTAGGCAGGAAAAGGGAGTAGTCTCGCAGCTATCACAGGTGTCAAACTCGCAGCATCACATTGCCAACACATGATGTTTTGCGATGTTTTCCCATTCGCGGAGCTGGGGTGGGCGTGGCATGCATGTGTCGCATCTGGCCCATGGGCCGCCAGTTTGACACCCCTGCTATACATTAAAAAAACCTTTTTTATGCTAAACAATACAGGTAGTCCTCGACTTACAACAGTTCATTTAATGACTGTTCAAAGTTACAATGGCACTGAAAAAAATTATGATGGTTGCAGTGTCCTGGAGTCACGTGATCCCCTTTTGCAACCATCTTATTAACAAAGCCAATGGGGAAGCCAAATTCACTTAATAACTGCATTATAAACTCAACTGCAGTGATTCACTTAACAACTATGGCACGAAAGGTCATAAAATGGGGTAGATTCACTTAACAAATGTTTCTCTACTGGAAGAAGGAAGATTTACCTACTATTCAAGAATGGACATTAAAAGTAGTAAATTTAGCAGAAATGGTGAAAATTTCAGCATATCTGAAGGACCAATCAAATGAAAAATATATGTTAGAATGGAAAAGATGGATTGATTATATTCAAGGCAAATATCGGACTAAAAAATTTCAAATAGCTTATGAATGATCAAAGAGATTTTATAAAGTACTTAAATTTAGTTTAGTAAAAGGGGAGTTAAAAGTTCAAGAGGGGGATAGGAGACTATAGATAATTAGCTTATGTTAGCTTATGATTGTCAAATGTTATACCCTGTATTTTGCTCTGGGAAGTGGGGGGGGGAGGGAGGGGAGGGGGAGTAGGGAGGGGGAAGGGGAAATGTTTGTAAAAATTTTTTAAAAAACTTTTCAATAAAAAAAACACAAATGTTTCTCTTAGCAACAGAAATGTTGAGCTCAATTACGGTCATAAGTCGAGGACTACCTGTATTAATGTTCTCGCCAGTCTTTCAGAAATAAGCCTTCAAAGAACAGCCCCTGTTCAACAAAGATTAGATCAAGCAACAATGAAATCTAAATGAGGGAATATACTGAAGGATAAGACAGGAAAAAGGACATCGGGATAACAATTCTGGGAGTACAAGGTACAAATTAAACCCATTCAATTTTCACATGATCCCAATTTCACATTTGGCTCGCCGCATGTTAAGAAAATTACCTTTCCATGAATCTATGCCCCTACTTAGGAACAGATACATCTGTAAATGAAGCTGCTGGATGAAGCCGTTGATTAACTTGGTCTTGATGAGAATAAGATGCTAAATGAGAATAACAACATAAAGGGATATATATATAGAATTGTCAAATAAGAGAAATTAAATAATTTGTAATTTTGGATGTGGGATTATGCACAAAAGAATCTTAACCGATTGACACACTTTCTGAGATTGTATTGCATGGTGGTTGTTTTATGTTTTGTTTTGTTTTAAATAAAAATTTAAAAAAAAAAAGTCAGACGCCCCTCCAGCAGCCACGAGGACCCTCCAGGATCAGGAAAGGTCCCAGGGAAGGAGGAAGAGGAGGAGTCGGGGATGGGGAGCCACCGGCTTCCCGACACCCAAGCGGGGCCCTTGGATAGCTGCAGACGCCTAGAGACAGCCAGGAAGCATCACCGCAGCGGCCAGGCGGCCTCCTCCCTTCTGTTATACACCCGGGGGGCCATAGAGTCTCGCCTCTCCCAACACACCTGCCTTCCTCTCGCTCCTCTCGTTACATGCGGGTCTCCCTTCCGGCGGAAGTCCCCGTGGCCGACGGGGAAGAGGATAAAAGAGCGAGTCTTCCTAGAAAGGCTCCCTTCCTTCTGTATCCCGTCTTCAGGGCGAAGACCGTTGGCCTTGTTCCCCCGCGCATGCTCAGTTTCGTTCAGAAACTCAAAAGTTGGGGTATTATTTTTTTTTCCCCAAAGCAAGCACAGACTGTTCCCCGGCTGTTATTCGGTTATGCGGGGAATCGCAGTGGGAGTGTGGGTTAGAGGAAAGTTGGGGCCGTTGACATTTCAGACAAGAGACTGGACAGTTACTTGTCTCGAAATGGATCTCCTGCTTGAGCAGGGAGCTGGACTAGAAGACCTCCAAGGTCCCTTCCATCTCTATTCTGATTCATTGATACATTTCTTCCTTCCCAAGAGGGAAGGAAATGGGAAAGTGAACCTCCCCCAAATTCCCAAAGGGGGTTCCCAAAAAATCTAAGCTTCAATCAATTAGAATAGAACTGGAAGGGACCTTGAAGGTCTTCTAGTACAGGGGTCTCCAACCTTGGCAACTTTTAAGACTTGTGGACTTCCAACTCCCAGAATTCCTCAGCCAGCTTTGCTGCCTGAGGAATTCTGGGAGTTGAAGTCCGCAGGTCTTACAGTTGCCAAGGTTGGAGACCCCTATTCCCTGTTCAAGCAGGAGACCGTATGCCATTTCAGACAAGTGGCTGCCCAATCTCTTCTTGAAAGCCTCCACTGATGAAGCACCCACAACGTCTGAAGGCGAGCTGCTCCACTGGTTGATTATTCTCACTGTTAGGAAGTTTCTCCTTAATTCCAGGTTGCTTCTCTCGTCGATTAGTTTCCATCCATTGTTCCTTGTCTGACCTTCAGGTGCTTTGGAAAATAGGTTGACCCACCCCACTCCTCTTTGTGGCAGCCTCTCAAATACTGGAATACTGCTATCATGTCACCCCTAGTCCTTCTTTTCTCTAGACTAGCCGTATCCAAATCCTGCAAACGTTCTTCATATGTTTTAGTCTCCAAGGCCTTTAGCTGCTCTTCTTTGCTCTTTTTCAAAAATCTCAACATTTTTTGTAATGTGACCAAAACTGGATGCAGTATTCCAGGTGTGGCCTTACTAAGGCTTTATAAAGCGGTACTAATACTTCACGTGATTTTGATTCTATGCCTCTGTTTATACAACCAAAGATTGTATGAGCTTTTTTGGCTGCTGCCCAACACTGCCAGCTCATATCTAAGTGACCTGCCGCACTCTCCTGTGCCTTTTTTTTTAAAATCATGTGAATGCCATGCCACCCGAAACTAACTTGCTCATGGTTTGCTACTTGTTCCTGTTTTAACCTTATGAAAGAAGTAAAGAAGTGTGAGTAAAAACCCACACGTTTTGCCAAAAACAATGATTTAAAGAGAAAAAGATGCTTTTAATCCCCCAAAGAGGCAACCTCCTCCAAGGAAGAGAAACAGTTCTTGAAAAAGTTCAGACTTTCAGTAAACAAGAGTTTTAACAAATGACAGTGCAACTAAGAGATCTGCAGGGGAAGTTTGAAATTTAGTGCACAGAGAGAGGATTTTTTGGGGGGTGGTGCGGAGACCAAAGAAACTCCCTTCCGTGCGAAATAACATTTGTCTAACTGACACGACTTCGCAACTAAAAACAACAAAACATTTCAGGGGGGAAATTCCGGAGCCTGGAAACGGGAGGCGAGCGACCTGATGCACCTGCACCGCTAGAGCACATCAAAGTATTGCTTGCAACACAAAATTGAATGTCTCAGGCCCATGCTTCCCCTGATCTCCCACGAAAATATAAACGGTCTTCTAGCATTTCCTTCTGGAAAGAAGAAAGAAAGAAAGAAAGAGAGAGAGAGAGAGAGAGAGAGAGAGAAAGAAAGAAAGAAAGAGAGGGGGAAAGAAAGAGGGAAACAGAGGGGGAAAGAAAAGTGGGAAAGAAAGAGAGAAAGAGAGAGAAAGAAACAGTGGGAAAGAAAGAAAAAGAAAGAAAGAAAAAGAGGAAAAAAGAAAGGGAGAGAGAAACGGGGAAAGAAAGAAAGAGGGGGAAAGAGAAAGAAAGAAAGGGAAAGAGAGAGAGAAACATGGGGGAAAGAAAGAGAGGGGTAAAGAAAGAGAAAGAAAGAAACAGTGGGAAAGAAAAAGAAAAAGAAAGAAACGGGGAAAGAAAGGGAAACAGAGGGGGGAAGAAAAGTGGGAAAGAAAGAGAGAGAGAGAGAGAAAGAAACAGTGAGAAAGAAAGAAAGAAAGAAAGAAAAAAGAGGAAAAAAGAAAGAAAGGGAGAGAGAAACGGGGAAAGAAAGAAAGAGGGGGAAAGAAAGAGAAAGAAAGAAAGGGAAAGAGAGAGAGAAACAGAGAGGGGGAAAGAAAGAAAGGGGTAAAGAAAGAAAGAAACAGAGTGGGAAAGAAAAAGAAAGAAAGAAAGAAAGAAAGAAAGAAAGAAAGAAAGAAAGAAAGAAAGAAAGAAAGAAAGAAAAAGAGATGGAGCGGGAAAGAAAGAAAGAAAAAAGAAAGAAAAAGAGAGAGGAGGAAAGAAAGAAAGAAAGAAGAGATGGAGCGGGAAAGAAAGAAAGAAAAAGAGAGAGAGGAGGAAAAAAAAGAAAGAAAGAAAGAAAGAAAGAAAGAAAGAAAGAAAGAAAGAAAGAAAGAAAGAAAGAAAGAAAGAAAGAAAGAAAGAAAGAGGAAGGACCGTTCGAATCCCCTCCTCCTTCGCTAACGGGAGGAATTTCCCGCACCAGTGAACTTTCGCTTTCGGCGGTTCGGACAAAGCTTATTAAGCCAAGACAATGCAACCGCAGCTTGTTTTGGTTTTTTTCGATTGGATGCACTTTCACGGCCAGGTGCTTTGCGGTTTTCTGCTGCCTGACGGAGAGAAACGCCAGAAGAGAGCCGTGGGGCTCGACAGGGGCTGTCTGATTTGGGAGAGGGAGGAGGCAGGCGGGTGATAGGGCTGCCTTTATGCGGGGTGCAGAATCTCGGCCCGCCACTAGATGGCAGCAAGATGTTGTATTTCCTCTATCGCCTTGCGGATTCAGATCTGCCTGGAAGATTTTCAGGCAACTGAGTTGGGATTTTCTTAAGGGAAGGGGATTTCTTTCACTTTCATCCCCTTCAAATCCTGGCCAAAATATGCCCAGTTCAGGATGTAGAGCCAGAGAGATGGTCGTGTGGGAAATCCCGGCATAATACAAAGCACAACATTGAGGGAAGAACCGTTGTACAGGCAACTATTGCCTGCCTTACCAGAAAGAGGAAATCAGAGTTTAATTCGCATAGACTTTTATTTGCATATGGGAAGTCTTCATCTTATGACCACAATTGGGCCCAAAATTTAATCAGATTTAATCAAGACAGTGGTTAAATTAGTTTTGCCTCACTTTATGACCTTTCCTGCCACCGTTGTTAAGTGAATCACTGCAGTTGTTCAGTTGGTAACAGGATTGTTCAATGAATCCGGCTTCCCCGATGAAGTTGCTTGCAAAAGAAGAACACATGCTTTCCTTACCTACTTTCCCTACCGGTTCGCAAATGTGAGCGTGTGCTTTGGGGTCACTAAGAGTCAACCCCAAGTTGATGGCACATAATCAAATGCAAAAGAAAGATTTTCCATATAAACATTCATAATCACGACTTAAACGTTGCTATTATAAAAAAAAGGTATTTGCCAAATCACTCTGACCACTGCCAAAGGTATGACACAAACTCGTAATCCATACTGATTAGATAAGATAGTGACATTGCATAGAACCAGGGAGTTCCAAATTGGTCTAATGGTTAACACACCAGGATTGAAAGCAGGAGGCTGTGAGTTCAAGTCCCGCCTTAGCCATGAAAGCCAGCTTGGGTAACTTTGAGCCAGTCACTCTCTCAGCCCAACATACCTCACAGGGTTGTTGTTATGGGGGAAAATAGGAGGAGGAAGATGTGTTGGAATGTGTTTGCTGCCTTGGGTTATTTATAAAAATAATGAAAGCGGGATATAGATAAATAAACCTCTGTGTCTGAAAATGTGCAAAATAAATTTTATTTATTCATCACCTTTATATGGCTGCTGATATTAAAAAAAACCCTCACAAGTAGCCGGTTTTATCGAAGATAATTTATTTGTCAACACTTTTGTACATTTTTATTCTGGGCTTGTGATAACTTACCCAAAGAAAAACTTCCACTACATGAAACAAGTATGAAAAGAGTTAATGCTTTGTATTCAAAATAACTTCAAAATTGAGTGAAACAATAACAAGCAATTTACAACTCATAAACATATCGGATTTCAAAAATTTAATCTAGTATTAAGAATACATGAAATACTCAGGAAGAAAATGTACGTTTGCTAACAAATTGCAAAGTACAGATTTAACCATATAAATATCACAGTCACAAGTTAAATAGCTGCTACAACAATAAAAAATATCTTAGCCTGGTAACGAAATGTTAGGAAACCAACCCACAAGCTCGGAGAACAAACCTTCAACGTCATCCTGTACAGATGTTTGCCACCATTGCAAAAAAGTCTTTGCCAGGAAACAAAGTTGTGAGATATAGCCCATAAGACACAATGCTAAGGTAAGTGAAAAGGCACTTGAAAAGTTACCTATGAAAGGTTATTCATGTATTCATTGTATTTACCATATTTTTTAGAGTATAAGACGCACTTCCCCCCCTTCCAAAAGGGTGAAAATTTGGGTGCATCTTATATACTGAATGTAGCCCCACCTACCCGCTGACCCTCAACCTTTGGCCTCTGCCTCCCAGCAATTTGCCTCCTTGCAGCAAGCAGCCGGTTTCAGCTTCAGCACAGTCTGATTAGCAGTTGATTGTCGGTTGGATCGGCCTCCCGACCCTCAGCTGTTTCAGGCTGCAGGGTTGCCATTGCCTATTGCCGCGTAGGCCTCCACTGTTTGCTGAAGGAGGCAAATTGCTGGGAGGCAGATTTTTTTTTCTTGTGCTAATCAGACTGTGCTGAAAATGAAACTAAAGCAGGCTGTTTGCTGCACCGAGGCAAATTGCTGGGAGTTAGAGGCAGATTTTTTTTTCTTGTTTTCCTACCCCAAAAAAGTGAAGTGCGTCTTATAGTCCGGAGCGTCTTATACTCTGAAAACTACAGTATATAAGTGCTCATCTTAGAGACAAAATGACTTTGGGCGGCGTACAAAACAACTGAAATCAATATATACAAACAACTTTAAATATTAGTATTAAAAACTTTTAAATCATAAGAGACACATGATTATTTATTTGTCCTGTTTATATGGCTGTGCATCTGTTTGTGAGCCGCCTAGTTATCTGACCGCCTTTCCGAAATGCACTGCTTTAGAGGTAGTCCTTGTTTAACAACCCAACTTGGACCAGAATTGCGGTTCCTCGGTGATGTCATTAAGCAAAAGCTCAAATGACTACACTGTTTAGCAACATCAGTTTCAAGTAATCCCAATTGTGGTCATCGTGTTTCTTGCCCTGCCATGTTCTCCTTCAATTCAAATCCCCCCCCCCACATCCCCCAATATATCTCCCTCCTATCTGGGTCCTTGTGGCTGCCCTGCACTAACATGGCTCTGTGAGCTGCTGCCCCCTGCTGGCATTTGCTAACTTTTTCCTCCTACTATTGACGGGAGGCATGAGGCCTAACCCTTCCCAAGCTAGGTCTGGCCCCACCCCAGACACAGAGACACAAAAACACACGTAGACACCATTATAGAAAATCCCAGTGATGTTTTCTTCAATTAAATGGACCCAAAGTTCCACAGTCTCTTATCTTTCTCATGGTTTATGTTAGGTGTTTTGTGCCAGCCATGGCAGTCTCCTCAAAGGCCACCAGATGGGAGCAAAGAGGCACCTTTGATCCCACTGGTGGGTAAAGAGGCTCCAGCCCCTGCAGCCCCATTGGGGAAAGTTCATGGCCCTCCGGCCCCCTCACACACCTTGTAAGGGAGGGGCCAGGGGCCCCTATAAGAACCCCTGCATAGGGGCTGCTCCCCCCTTTTTCCCTTTTTGCTTTTGCTCTTTTTCCCTGCTCTTGTTCTACTCTCCTATGGGACTGATCCATGGGCTCAATCCAGGCATGGATGCCTCCATGCCTGGGACCTTATTTTACTCTACTTTTACTTCTAAATAAAGACTTAATTTGATTATTCTGGTCCCAGTTTTGGTTGTAAGCCGAAGACTACCTGTAATGCATCACTGTTTCAAGATCATCGTCTGAAGTGGTGGACTCTTCTTCTTCTTTTCCCTTTTTCTTCGCCCAACATCCTGAAAGGACAAAAAGAAAAACACTCAAGATGTTGTTCCTCCCTTCACCACCAAGTCTGAGGTGTCATCGGAAAGAAAGGACAGCAGAATTTTTCTTGATCATCCCAGAAATTCCATGATCAGTGACCAAAAGACAGGCTACAGTCCAGTGGTGGAATTTTAAAAAAAATTTACTACCGGTTCTGTGGGCTTGGTGGGCGTGGCAGGGGAAGGATACTGCAAAATCCCCATTCCCACCCCACTCGGGGGCCAGGCAGAGGTGGCATTTGCCGGTTCTCCGAACTACTAAAATTTCCTCTACCGATTCTCCAGAACTTGTCAGAACCTGCTGAATAGTACCCCTGCTACAGCCCTAACCAAGAATGAAGGACATGACATTGTGTATTAATTAGAAGAGCCAACTTGGTGTATTGATTAAGGTGTTGGGACTAGAAAGTGAGAGATTGTGAGATCGAGTCCTCCTTTAAGCTGGTCGCGGAACATTAGGCTAGTGGTCCCCAACCTTTCTGGCTTGATGACCTGGCTGGGGAGGGGTGGGGAGAAGAGGGAAATCAAGCTGTGAAAGTGGTGGGCCAGCACGCACAGCTCGACTTGCACAATGTGTTGTGGCCCCGCCCTCTGAGCCTATCTCATCGGAGGAAGAAGGCTCCGAACATGAGGGAGAGGAGTCAGCCAGGCCTCCCTCTCCAGGCCCCTCCCCTCTGGCACTGTCTCAGGTGCCGGACGAGGGAGAGGAGATTAGCCAGGAGCCAGGTGTCTCTGATGAGGGCGAGGAAGGAGAGCCGTCGTTCCTGGATGCACGCCAACGAAGGCGTGATAAACGGTTGCAGCAGTTAAGGAGGCGTGCTAGGGATTAGAACTGAGTCACTGGACCACACCCCAGAGACTATATAAGAGAGGGTGGTGGCTGGTAAAACTCCATGACGAACAAAAACTAACTTTGGCTAGTCACTTGAACAACGTCTGAAGCTGCCGAAGGGATATTGTTTTGCTGGACTATTTGCATTGCGTATGTAATTTTATGTTATCTGTTGCAGTAAAGCTCTTGGCAGACAGTGCTTATATTATTGCCAAGTTTGAGATAACGACCTGTGTGCGTGCCAAGTACTTTCTTAACCCTCGGCTGGCTGTGTTTGTGTGTGTGTGTAGACGGGGACAGATCACAATGCGCCTGCGCACATTGGCCAGCCACTCACGCGGCCTGATGTCCACAGCTCGGTAGTGGTCCACAGCCCACAAGTTGGGGACCCCTGTTTTAGACCTCTTGTGGTCTACAAGTCACCTTCTGGTGAGATAGGCAGCAAAACTAAACTAAACTAAACTAAACTAAACTAAACTAAACTAAACTAAACTAAACTAATAAAATTAAAATTATTAAAATTAAAATAATAAAATAAAATAATAAAATAAAAATAAAAAAAATATAACATAAAATTAAAATAATAAAATATAAGATAAAATATAAGATAAAATATAAGATAAAATAATAAAATAAAATAAAATATATAATAAAATAAAATATAAAATAAAATAAAATAATAAATATCTCTTCAGTTCTCTAAATTTTGAGTGGAGATTTTGGAAGCCACGAATCCTCTGAGAAGTCTCTTTCTCTCTCTCTCTCACCTTAGAATACTGTTTTCCAAAACTGGCAATTTCCAATGTGTGGACTTCAACTCCCAGAATTCTACAGCCAGCATGGCCACTGATGAGAATTCTGGGAGTTGAAAACCACACACTTGGAACAGTAGTGGGATTCGAATCCCGTTACTACCGGTTTGCTCACGCACATGTGCAACGCTTCTGCGCAGAGATGTCTGGACAGTGGGCAGAACCTTTTGCCGCAGCTGCTACTGGTAGCAACCCGCAGCAGATCGGGCGAACTGGTAGAAACCCGCCACTGACCTGGAAGTTTCCAAATTTGGAAAACAGGGCCTTCAAGCCTAAACCAGAATGGCAATTCCACCTTTCTACAAACCCCTCTGTAGGTGGTAGCATACTTACCAATACATCCAATGAATAATGCCACCATCAGAATTACAGAAACCACCACGCCTCCCCTTCTGAAATACACACCAGTTGAAGCTGCAATGGGAGGAGAGGAAAAGAGTGTTTCCTTCCTGAAATGTGACTGAAATATTTGCATCTGTTTCTTTTTTTCTAATGTTATATACTCCATTTGGAAGTATGAAAAAGTCAAAGAATTTTAGGTTTGTAATATCCACATCCTACATTCTAATTAATATGGGTACAATATTCTTTCTCTTTTCGTTATTTATAATCCCACGTTAATAAGTCCCTTGTGTCTTTCAAGGCCTGTTCCCTCCTGTATAACATCTCTTGTATTATACAGATTCCCCTGTTTAGGTTTTGTGTTGCTGTAAATATCCCCCACCCAGATACTTCCATGGGGAGTCTGCCAGACCCCCCTGTCTTTCTCCAGCCTCTCACCATCATCTTCCATGGCTATGTCCAGTGGCTCTTGCAGGCCATCATGCTCCACATGACACCGGTAACGGCTCCTCTCCTTGGGATCAATCTGGATACTGAGCCAGTAGTAGAAGGTCCCATCTGAGTTGGGGGCCACGGACCCCTGGAGGGTGTCTTCCAGCCAGACCTCTCCATCCCTCCTCCAGGAGGCATCGATCTCCTTGGGGTAGAAGCCATGAGCTCGGCAGAGGAGGCTTTCCATGCCGTCAACCTCAGTCCTGCTGCTCATCGTCACCACTGGGGGCTCTGCTCCAGTGTAGAGAATGCAGAGAATTGTCAGAAAGAAATGTCATTTGTTCACAATGTTTGATCCCAAAATTCGCCATCCCCAAATATCTGCATCCTGGTGATGCACTTATGGGTCTGCTCCGTGGCTCAAGGGAAGCCCTGGGGAACTGCCCCCAAAGAATGGAAGGATGCCTGGGACTGCAATACCTCCAGAGAAGCCATTTCCATTAAGAGGCTTTTTTTTTTCTCTGGAGTCAAGCACAACTCCTGGGGCCAACAAGGAAACAACCATTCAGTTTTCTTGGCAACAGCATTTAGTTATATAAAAAACTTAGGCACCACCCATCTCACTATCTAAACAATAGGAGCGCGGTGGCTTACATGGTTAGGATTCTGGGTTGGAGGTTAGCAAGCTTGTGTTCGAGACCCCGCCCCGCTGCATGGTGGAGTGAGCTCCCGTCATTCGCTCCAGCTCCTTAACAGGATATGAAAGGAGCCCCCATTTGGGATGTTCCCTGGGCAACGGTGATATCATTGGCTAATCTTTTCAAGCCAGAAGCACTTTTTTTTTTTTTTAAAGCACCTTTAAAAAAAGGTGCTTTCAACACCTACGGGGACTACCTAACTGAGTAAGGATGCGTTTTTGTCCTTTTCTCTTTTGCATTTTTTCAACCTCCCTAGTGGTCTCCCATCCGATGGCCAAGCAGGCCCAACACCAAAGAGTAGGAGCTTCCCAATTCTTTTTTCCTTCAATAACCTGCCACCTTTTTTTCTGGTTATTCTGCGAATGAGACAACCAGCTCGTTCTTCAGTTGCAGTATTTCATACCACCCAATTAAGACTCTGGACCGTAAATAGACACCCTCTCCTCATATTCAGCGTTGCCATCCTTACCCTTCCTTCCCTGAGCTTCTGTGTCGTAGTCCAGACATTTCTTCAGCCAGGCAAAGCACTCCCCTTCCAGGTAAATCTTCTTGCGCCAGCCTCTGTCCAAATCAGCATCCCATTTCTTCTTGGTCATTTCGGCCTCAGCGTTGGCTGCCGTCCAGTTGAGGGTGGCCTTGTTGAAGCTGAGAAAGTCCTTCCCATCGTAAGCATAGAGATCGTACCCTCTTTCGCTCCCATCGTCCGCCAGCTCACAGCCATATAGCCGCTGCCAGACATGAAGCTCTAAAAGAGAGCAAGATTAGTGAGCCGTCACCGCACTTATGCAAGGTCCATCAAACAAGAAAACTTCTCCATCCCTGCTTTAGCTCCGGTTTCCAGATTCCCTGACCAACCTAGAGGAAGGCAAAGGAAAGGGATGTTTGTCCACTCTTCCCATCACCAATAAGGCAATATGCCAGGTTTTTTAGAAAAAAATTATTTCCAAAGTTAAAATACAAAATAAAAGGGGAGGGGGGGAAGGAGGAAACAAATTAATAACCATCCGACCCTAATAATAAAAACAGAAAATCACATGTACAAAAAAAAGGAACAAACAATGAATATATTATTCACACGGACATTGAACGTAGAAAGTCCACGCTGCTTAAATGCTGATAAATTTATCAAAAGTATCGGATGTCTTCTCTAGGTATAACAGCCCTACAAACTGTTATAAGCTTCCCCATCTTTCAGAGAACTTTCTAAACCCAGAGAAAGGGTCCGTTTTCTAGGCTCACGACGGCCTAAATCTCTCTCCTTCAAAATGAGTGAGTGCAAGTAAAGAAACCGATACAAATGCATCCAGACCCAAGGACAAGCTTCCCGATTCCGACTGAAGCAGGACAAAAACACACGATTTGCAAAGTTTTATTCAAGCTTAGAAAGAAAGCAAAAAGCAGGATGGGGGGTCAGCCAAGCCTTCTCAAAGCAGGCAAGTTTTCTGACTTTCTCTTAGAAGCAGTGGTGGGTTGCTACCAGTTCAGGCGAATTGGTAGCGGCAGCGGTGGGAGGCTCCGCCCACCCGACCAGACATCATCAAATACGCTCTGCGCATGCGAACCGGTAGCAAAGATAAGTGAACCTCACCACTGCTTAGAAGTGAATCTCCTCCCTCCTCCAGGTGTTCTCCTGAATATTTTAGGTAAGCGAATTATAACACTGTACGATAGTGTGTCATAGCACAGGGGTACCTAACCCCCGGGCCGGGTAGCAACCCATTCGGAACTGGCTCATATGAGCGGTGGGTGAGCACCTGCCCATGAGCAGCTCCACCCACATGAGCAGTGAGCGAGTGCCTGCATGTGCGCAGCTCCACTTGTGCTTGCACACAGAGCTCCATTTGTGCAAGCGGCAGGTGTGTACACCTGCCCCTTGCACACATGGAGATGCGCTCACTTCCGGGCATGCCTCTTGCTCACACAGAACCGTCCCCTTCCGCCTCCCACCCGCTGGGCCACTAAGCTGGAAAAGTCGGGGACTGCTGGCATAGCGTATTTGCACCCCCTCCTTTGATCTCTAGTTACTGGTCCTATCCCCCATTTACCATTTTAGGGCTCAGGAAAAGTTTATGAAATGAATTAGCATTACCGTTCATTAACCTAGACGGGGGGGAAAATGGCAGATGACCGGCAGGTAATTCTCTGGCTTCTAAACCTTTGATCTTGGTCTGGCTGTTGACCAGAAACCAAGATAGCATAGTTCATCCATCAAAAAACACAGCTTACATGCTCCATCGACTTTGTAGGATATTTAGCTGCCGGTCAGAATTTCATTGTTCAGCTTCTTCTCCCTTTATAATGGATTAATTCATTTATCACTAGGCAGCAAACAAAATAAGAGACAACATTCCATTAAAGCAAATCGACACACACAGCTAAAAAGAAGTCAGATTAGGCCCCCATAAAATCTGAAATCCCACCCTGCATACAACCCCACCAGATTGCCACTAATTTATAGCTGAGCCCTAGTATTTGGGGGAAGTGCCTGAGATAGTGGTTAACCTTAATCCTAACCATCCTAGTTTATTTTCTTATCGGCAGAGCAAATACCAACTGTTTTGGTTGATGGTTTTGAATGGATAGAAAGATGTTGGAGATGTTGGAGAGATGCCACGAGATGGGAAGATGTAACTTCCCAGAAGTCAGGGGTTCTACGGTACTTAGAACAATTCTTGTCTAGATCAGCCGTCTCCCAAAGTTGGCAACTGTAAGATTTGTGGACTTCAACCACGCTGGCTGAGGAATTCTGGGAGTTGAAGTCCACAGGTCTTAAAGTTGCCAACTTTGGAGACCTCTGGTCTAGATTATTCCATATAGAGACAGAAAATCAGATATAGGTACTCCTTGACTTATAACCATTTGTTTAGCGACCATTCAAAGTTACAAGAGCACGGAAACAAGTGACTTTATTTAATTTACATATTCATTCATTTAATCAATTTCTGTAGCAGCTTACAATTCTAAAATTATAAAACAATTTAAACAATTTAAAAGACATTAAAACAGTAAAAGCACCCACCAAATAAATGAGTATAAACGACAGCCATGATGATTAACAAACTAATAGTAAAACCAAGTAACGGGACCCTTAACACATTTCGAGCCCCAAATACAGAGCCAAGTTTTTAAAGCTTTGCTAAAAGCCAATAGGGTTGGGACCAGGGGTGAAATGTAAAATTTGTTACTACCAGTTCTGTGGGCGTGGCTTGGAGGGGGGGGTAATGTGACTGAGTGGGTGTGGCCAACTTTTTTTTTTTAAACTTTTCACAGCATTTTTTCTAATGCTTTGAAAAGCCTCTGCCGATCAGGCAACTCAGCTGGGATCCCTTCGGCCAAGAGGTTGCAGGAAAAAATGCTTTGAAAAGCCCCTGACGATCCCAGCTGAGCCGCGCTATCATCAGAGGCTTTTTTTTTTTACTTTTAAAAGCATTTTTTCGTCGGAAGGGGTTGTAGAAAAAATGCTTTTAAAAGTTAAAAAAAAAAAGCCTCTGATGATCGCGTGGCTCAGCTGGGCATGGGGGGGGGGGCAGGAATTTTTGCAACCAATTCTCCGAACCACCCGCTGCTATCGCTACTGGATGAGGCGATCCGGTCCGAACCGGGAGCATTTCACCCCTGGTTGGGACTATTCTAAACTCTGTTGGGAGAATATTCCATATTGCAGGGGCTGCAGCAGAAAAAGCCCATTTTCTAGTTCCTGCCAGTCGACAATCTTTGGCTGATGGGATCTGCAGCATGCCTGCTCTGTAGGATCTGATCGGCGGGATAGAAACGCTTGGAAAAAGACAGTCCCTTAGGTAACCTGGTCCCTTGTCACACAGGGCTTTAAATGTGACAACCAGCACATTGAATGGCACCTGGGAACACAATGACAACCAGTGCAGCTCACGGACTGGCGTGTCACATGTGCCACGTAGCTGGCGACATTTTGCAGCAGCTGAAGTTTCCAAAGGTTCTTCAAGAGCGGCCCCATGCAGAGAGTATTATAGTAATCTAAGACAGGGGTCCCCAAGTAGCTTGCTGATATGCATCCGTGTGCGCACATGCATCTCCCCACTTGTGCTAGCATTGCCGCTAGTGTTGCACAGGTGCTCGTGGCCCCGTTTGCATCACATGAGTACTTGCGGTCCCCATCACGCACTCGCAGTTTGCGTGCACACACAGGGGTGCGTAAAGACGCCTGTACCTTCCCCCGCCTCTCCTGGGCCACCAACCCAGAAGGATTGGGGAACTCTGATCTTGAGCATCCCCAACTCCCAAAGGAAGCTCTTCCACTCCTGACTGACAGTCCTAGTAGCAGCTTATTGGAGGCCAATTCCAGTTATCAGCTTCTGCAGACTCTGGAAACCAGTTGCTGGGCTCGTTGGTTCAGCCATTCAGTTCTGGACCGGTTGTCCCATCCACTCCTCTCCCAGCATTTCCTCTTCACTATATTTCCATTGCCACTGCCACCATTGTCCTCAGTCTCGGCTTAGCTCCTCTGTTCTCCTAACCAGAGTAAGTCCAGATTCCGCCGCTTCCCCACTTCTCCCTCATCGGTCTTTGCCAGTGTTATGGCTGCATGGACCTTTGGCTTTGGCTTGGTGTCTCTTGTCTCTGGCCTCCTGCTGAAGGTCCATCCTTAGGAATTCTTCAGCATCGCTGTTGCTACGGATGTAAACACCACTAGTTCTGGGGCTTGGCTCGGCACCTCCAAGCTACAGCTGGAGGTCTGACCTCATTATGCCTTCGCCTTCGCCCCTGCTCTGGGCCTTGTGTCCACATTTCCAGCCCCAGCTGATTCCCAGCTGCAGATCAGATCCTGCCGTGCTTTCAAACTTGCCTCAATGGCATTTGACACCAGCTCCATGCCTTCAACCATCAGCCTTGCCACCGGACAAGCAGACCTGGACAAGCAAATGGGTGTGCAGTGGGGTGATAGGGGTTCATCCTCTTTTAACGACCCCATAATCCCTTGCAGGGTGGAGTCTGAGCAACTGAATGAAGCTGAGTGTTTACTGGCCGGATGCCCTTCCTGTTATCAATGCGGAGTTATATTCAACAGACATATTCGCAGTGTGCCCAATGAGAGAAATATCTGCCTCTACCTAGGATCGAACTCACAGCCTCCTGTTTATGAGGCAAGAGCTCCACCTCTAGGCCACCACACCACTCTAGTGGGATGATAGGGGTTCCCCCACAGAATAAGAGAGTTGAAAGGGACTTGGGAAGTCTTCTAGTCGAACCTCCTGTTCAAGCATTTCAAGTAGAAATGATCTATATCATTTCAGTCCACTGGTTGTCCAATCTCTTCTTAAAAACCTCCAATGATGAAGCACCCACAACTTCTGAAGGCAACTTCTGTTCCACTGATTAATTGTCCTCAATGTCAGGAAATTTCTCCTTAATTCTAAATTGCTTCTCTCCTTGATTAGTTTCCATCCGTTGCTTTTTGTCCTGCCTTCAGGTCAATAGGTTGACCCCCTTTTCTTTGGGGCAGCCCTTAGATATGGGGAAACTGTTATCATGTCACCCGTAGTCCTTCTTTTCATTAAACGAGAATGTCTCACAACACTCCCACACTCTCACCCCACTTCACGGCAGGGAGCCTCACACTCTGCAGCGGCTCTCGCGCGTGCCACTTTCTCTCTGATCCTCGACTTATAACCAGTCCTTGTGTTTACAATCACTGCAGCATCCACACGATCTTGTGATCAAACTTCAGGCCCTTGGCAACCGTTGTGTATTTACGATAGTAAAGTAGCATCCCAGGGTCCCGTCATCACCATTTGCTGCCTTCCCAGCTGGCTTCTGACAAGCGAAGTCAACAGGGGACGTTGGATTTCTTTAACAACTGTGTGATTGACTTAACAACAGCTGCAGTGATTTGCTTAACAACTGTGGTGAAAAGGTCATAAAATCGGGCGCAACTCACTTCACAATCGCTTTGCTGAGCAGCAGAAATTTTGGCCTTAATTGTGGTTATAAATCGAGGACTCCCTGCAATCTAATGGAAGATTTGGCTTTGTTGCCTTGAACCACTTTCTTATTTTATTCTTCTTATTTTATGTATTTCATGATTCACGATGAATGTATTTATGAAGACTATGATCGTGATTTATCACTTATATCTTTATGTACACTGAGAGCTTATGCACCGAAGGCAAATTCCTTGTGTGTCCACTCATACTTGGCCAATAAAGAATTCTATTTAATTTAACAAACAAGAGCCACTTTGGTACCAGGCGATAAGCAGGGAGGCCCTGAGTTCTAGTCCGCCTGAGGTACAAGGCCAGCTAGATAACCTTGAGCCGGTCACTCTCTCTCAGCCCTGGAAAGGAGGCAATGGCAAATCCTAAATCTGGCCATAAAAACTGCAGCGGCTTGTCCAGGCAGTCGCCAGGGATCAACAAAAACATAACACCCTTCTCAGCAGATTTTCATGACAGACCTCCCCAAATATTAAGATCTAGATGGGAAGAAAAAATGTTTATTTATCACATTTATTTGTTGCCCATCTGGTAATGAAACGAAATATCAGGGAATGTTAAGATTTTCTGTGCCTTTCTCCCCTTCCTGTTGCTCTAGTTCTTGAGGCTGTTTTGTTTCCGGTCTGAAGATTCCTGCAACTATTCCTTTCTCCAGCTCATCTTGCAGAGTCAGCCTCTCCTGTATGCAGCCCAATCCCCTGCCTTCAAATTAGAATTCATTAGCACCCCACAGATTCATTAACTAGAAAAGATTAGCAAAGAATCCCATTGTGAATCACTTTATATCTAATACAAGAGAGTTAATCCCTCTGAACAACAGATTAAAGAAAAACATCAATGATGAAAATCAAACACGACAGGATAGGCTGCCTACAAAATGGTCACTCTCTGGGCTGCTGGTGTCCTGTCCCTTTAGGACCTCCCTCTATGATGGTGACTTTATTATGGTTTTAAGTTAATATTTAACTTGCATACTGAACAGTCCACATATTTTTAAAGAGAGAGAGAAAAAGAGAGAGGAGAGAAAGAGAGGGAGAGGGGGGTGAGGAGAGAGAGAGGAGAAAGAGGAGGGAGAGGGAAATCAGAGAGGGAGGGAGGGAGGAGAGGGAGAGGGAGAAGAGAGAGGGAAGACAGAGAGAGGAGAGGGAGAGGGGGAGAGAGGGAGGAGAGAGAGGGAGAAGAGAGAGGGAAGAGAGAGAGAGAGAGGGAGAGGGGGAGAGAGGGAGGAGAGAGAAAGGGAGAGAGAGGGAGGGAGGAGAGAGAAGTGGGAGAGAGGGGAGAGGGGGAAGAGAGAGAGAGGGAGGAGAGAGGGAGAGGAGAGAGAAGTGGGAGAGAGGGGAGAGGGGGAAGAGAGAGAGAGGGAGGAGAGAGAGGGAGGAGAGGGGAGAGGAGAGAGAGGGGGGAGAGAGGGAGGGAGGAGAGAGAGAGGAGAGAGCGAAAGGAGAGAGGAGAAGGGAGGGAGAGAAAGAGAGAGGAGATAAATATAATGATAGATGACAGATGTTAGATAGACAGATAGACAGATATAGATAAGATAGATGATCGATAGATGATTGATAGATCGATAGACAGACAGACAGACAGATTGTTGTTGCTCTACTTAAACGTATATTTGTGTTTGTGTGTATAATGAATTTTATTAGTGTTGTATATCAATGGTTGCATGACCCCTGCAGATGCCATACGCTAAATTAATAAATAACAAATAACACCCCTAGCCAATCCAGCAACTGGTGGCTATAAAAACTGAGCAGAGAGGTGGCTGGGTGTGGTGGTGTTGGAGTGGGTGAGAGAGGGGAGGTGTTTGTTTGGGAAACTAAAACAGCCTGAATCGGCCTAAGTTAAGTAGAAGAGTTGCTGTTCTTCAGAAGGTGGGCTCAGAAACAGAAGTAGTGGAGGAACAGAATTATAGTAGCTATGGGAAAGAATAGTATGGTGAACAGTATTAGCCTTTGAATACTTGTAGGTGTGTGTTGTCTATAGGCCAGATGGGGTTATGTTGGCTCTCTGGGGTTTTGGAGTCCACTAACCTGAATATAAATAAAAGAACCAGTGACATCAACTAATATGATGTTTTTTAAAAAAAAACATATGAAGGATGAAACCATGTTTTTCCCCGTGTGTAAATCAGACTGGCCCCAAGGATGTGAGATTTCCTGGTCTTACCTCGGCTCCGGTTACTCTGCTGCAGGATATTCTCCAGGTCGTTCCTGAACCGCTGTCCAGAATGGGAGGCTCTCTGGGTCATCCAGTTCCAGAAGTCGGAGTCCTCTTCCTCGATCTTCTTCATCCAGGGGGCTCGGGACATGGCCCGCTCGGTGATGCTGTTGTAGGAACCAACAAGGAAGCCGTCCCCATAGCCCAGAGCAGTGAACTGGGGCAGGTCTCCAATGGGTTCTGATAGGGCCGTGTACAGATAAAGCAGAGAATGGGTGTGTCCATCTGGAAAACAAGGGCAGAGTTTCAGGTATGGCAGGAAGGGGCACTTCCGCACCGTTTAATGGGGTCATTTGTTGACGGCCATCAATTCAGTCTTTTATGATCTCAAATTTTCTGGAGACAGAAAAAGGTTACAGGAAGTCCTCGACTTCCTGTTTGTGTTGCCTTCTAAATGCGTCACATGTTGTGCGTTGTGATTCTTGACAAGTCTATCTTGTCTTTTTATGTACACTGAGAGCGTATGCACCAAAGACAAAATCCTTGTGTATCCAATCACACTTGGCCATTAAAGAATTCTATTCTATTCTATTCTATTCTATTCTATTCTATTCTATTCTATTCTATTCTATTCTATTCTATTCTATTCTATTCTATTCTATTCTAATCCATTCCATTCCATTCCATTCCATTCCATTCCATTCCATATTCTTATATGCTACATCCTTCTCTCTGCTACCGGAAAGATGGACTAAAAGGCCCTGGGGGTGGAACATTATCCAACATGGAAAATAAATATTAGAAGAGAACAAACAAAAGAGAAAATATTTTTGCAGTTCAGGGCGTATCTAAACATACATCTATGGTTGTCCAAAGTCCACATTCTATTGTTCTGGCTAGATTCCCAGATCTTTCCTATGCCCTTTGGGACTTTCCGAAGCCACCTTAGATCTGCCCAATAACAGGTGCTTTTTTCTTCTGTTCTTCCATTGGTTGTTCCTCCAACACACCACCGACACACCTCTGACAACCAAGCACCTGACTGTCATTCATCAGGAAGTGCTAGAGGGCGAGGCCCCACATTTGATCCATGTGAAAATATTTACAGACCCTTATCTATTCTATCCATCAAATTTAAATGGCCACCCATCTCACCAAAAGTTAACTAACTCTAGGCTGCCTCTAAACACCAATGAACATATCAGAAACAGAATAGAGCTGGAAGGGACCTTGGAGGTCTTCTAGTCTATCCCCCTGCTCAAGCAGGAGATCCTAAACCCGTGATGACGAACCTATTGCAGGTGGCACGTGGAGCAGTACCTGTGGGCATGTGAGCATTGCCCTAGCTCAGCTCCAGCATGCATGCGTGCACCGGCCCTTGATTTTTGGCCCTTCCAGGCCCACCAAAAGTCAAGAAATGGGCTATTTCCGGCCTCCGGGGCTGGGGGAGGCAGTTTTTGCCCTCCCCAGGCTCCTAGAAAGCCTCTGGAGGCTGGGGAGGGCGAAAAACGGGCCTTCCAGGCCCACTGGAAGTGGGGAAATGGGCTGTTTCTGACCTCCGGAGGGCCTCTGGCGGGCTGGGGAAGCCGTTTTTGCCCTCCCCAGGCTCCAAGAAAGCCTTGGACCCTGGGGAGGGCGAAAAACGGGCCTTCCGGGCCCACTGGAAGTGGGGAAATGGGCTGTTTCTGACCTCCGGAGGGCCTCGGGGGGCTGCGGAAGCCATTTTTGCCCTCCCCAGGCTCCAAGAAAGCCTCTGGAGCCTGGGGAGGGTGAAAAACGGGTCTACTGGGCCCACCATGCCATTGCGTGCCAAAAGTGGGGGGCGCGGCACATTGAATTATGGATGTGGGCATGCACACGCACAAACCCCCCCGCACTCCCCCCGCTTTTGGCACGCGACAGCAAAAAGGTTAGCCATCACTGTCCTATACCATTTCAGACAAATGGCTGTCCGATCTCTTCTTGAAAACCTCCAGTGTTGGGGCACCCACAACTTTTGAAGGCAACTTCTGTTCCACTGGTTAATTGTCCTCCTCACTGTTAGCAAGTTTCTCCTTAATTCCAGGTTCCTTCTCTCCTTGATTAGTTTCCATCCATCGTTTGTTGTCTTGCCTTCTAGTACTTTGGAAAATAATTCAACCTCCTCCTCTTTGGGGCAGCCCCTCAAATACTGGAATGCTGCCATCCTGTCTCCCCTAGTCCTTCTTTTCTCTAGACTGGCCAAACCCAACTCCTGCAACAAATCCTAAAACATTCTTCATATGTTTTAGTCTCCAGGCCTCCTAGTTGCTTTCCTTTGCACTTTTTCCAAAGTCTCAAAATATCAAAGGACATCCATTTATAAAATGTAAAATAGAATCCAGGCATACAAAAGATAAGATGTTAACAGCTCTAATGACTGTTGCAAGATCTCCTCGGTCCCTGAGACCTCCCTCCCCTGATGACCCTATCACAGTGGTTCTCAACCTGTGGGTCGGGACCCCTTTGGGGGTCGAATGACTCTTTCACAGGGGTCACCTAAGACCATCGGAAAACACATATTGAATAAATGTCAAATTAGGATTTATTATATAGTTTTATAGTGGAAGGCTGCTTTGAAATGTTATATTAATATACACAAAAGATTAAATATTAAATTAGGATTTATTATATAGTTTTATAGTGGAAGGCTGCTTTGAGATGTTATATTAATATACACAAAAGATTAAATATTAAATTAGGATTTATTATATAGTTTTAAAGTGGAAGGTTGTTTTGAGATGTTATATTAATATACATAAAAGGTTTGATTTAAGAGATATATGTATGGGGGAGGAGAAAAAGGGCAGATTATTGCTAAATTGGGAGTTATAATAATATGACTATGTCAAATCAGAAGTTATTATACAATATTACAGTAGAATGTTATTTTGAAATGTATAGTAAAAGGGGGATATAATAATATTATTAGAAAGAAAGGGTCAGTATTTGGGGGAATGGAGTAAGGGAATGGTAAAGTATTATATAATCTGTTATGAATTTGGATTTTACTTTGAAGAAGTCACGGGGGGAGGGGTGGCGAGGGGGGGTTAGGGAGGAGGGGGGGAGAAAAAAGGGGGGGAAATCTGTATTTGAAAAACTTTTTCAATAAAAAAAAAAAAAGGAAAACACATATTTTCAATGGTTTTAGGAATAATTTTATGGTTGAGGGTCACCACAACACGAGGAACTGTATTAAAGGGTCGCGGCGTTAGGAAGGTTGAGACCCACTGCCCTATCGGATCTTGAAGGACCTTTGGAGGAAAAAAAAACTGGATTTAAGCTAACTAAAGAGCCTTGGTACTACAGTGGTTTAAAGCACCCTGTTATTAACACAGCTGCCTGCAATTTACTGCTGGTTCGAATCTCGCCAAGGCTCAAGGTTGACTCAGCCTTCCATCCTTTCTAAGGTAGGTGAAATGAGGACCCAGTTTGTGGGGGCAATAAGCTGACTTTGTATAAATATACAAAAGGATGAAGGCTATTGCTTAACGCATTGTAAGCCGCCCTGAGTCTCCGGAGAAGGGCGGCATATAAATCAAAATTAAAAAAAAAAAAAAAAAAACTTCACGGGAAGGGAGACTGTTTCCTAAGACAGAGTAAAAGAGATGTTTTGCAAGCGGGGAAGCCAGCGTGGTGGAACGCTTGGGCTGAGACTCATAGACCCCTTTTGCGGGGTCCCGTCGCACCTGCCCACTTGCTCCACGGCGATCGCGGCTTTCTCGATCCGTGGCTCGTGGATTCGTCCCTTCCTCTCACCCGTGGCTTTAATCCTCGCAGCAGCAGCAGCAACAATCCAGGCGGGGCGAGAGGAGAGGAGAGAGGAGATCGCCCCTAGCCGAGCCCACGCGGCGAAGCCCCCCCACTCCCCCCGCCTCTTTTCTCCGCCGCCCACGGTCGCCCACGCGCGAGCTCTCCCCGCTACTCACCGGAGCAGCCGCTGAGCAAAAGAAGCGCCGGGAGGAGGAAGAGGCGCTTCGTTGTCCCGCCGTCTGGAGCCCCTCGGAGCTCGGCCGCCCTCCGCTCCCCGAACCCACGGGGGATCCTTCCTTCGGCGAAGCTCCAGAGGATCCCGAGGAAAAGATCCCGGCGAGCCATAAGATCGAGCCCCCGAGTGGCTCTCGCGAACAACCGGCCTTAGGACGCGCCTCTCGGTTCTGCAGAACCCGAATAGCGCTGCGGCTGATGCAAAAGCCACAGTGCGGCGTCATAACATCGCTCCGCCTCCCGCGATTCGGCGAACCGCGCCCGAGTGGAAAGTACCGCGGGGAAGGAGACGGCCGGTTGCTGCTGCTTCTCCCACCCCTAAGAGCTTCCTCTCGGGTTTCGGCTCTTCTGGCGGCTTCCTGGTTCGTGAAAGTGTTTCTTTCAGGGACAGGGTAGGCCTCGATTTCCAACAGTCCGTTTAGTGACCGTTCCAAGTTACAACGGCGCTGAAAAAAAAAGGGATTTATGAGCGGTTTTCATCCTTAACGATTGTGGCAGGAAATAGCCATCTGTTTCAATTCCGAGCTGGGAAAAAAGCACTCTGCCCCCTCTCCCAAGGGTGACATTCGTTCTGACAGGTTGAGTAGTTTGGAGAATACCACCTCCGCCTGGCCCCAGGAGTGGGGAGGGAATGGGGATTTTGTAGGATCCTTCCCTTGGAGTGGGGTGGGAATGGAGACTCTGCAGTATCCTTCCCCTGGAGTGGGGTGGGAATGGAGATTTTGCAGGATCCTTTCCCTGGAGTGAGTTGGGAATGGAGATTTTGCAGGATCCTTCCTCTGGATTGGGGTGGGAATGGTGATTTTTTTTTAAAAAAAAATTTATTTATATGCCGCCCTTCTCCGGAGACTCAGGGCGGCTTACAATGTGCTCAGCAATAGCCTTCATCCTTTTGTATATTTATACAAAGTCAGCTTATTGCCCCCACAAACTGGGTCCTCATTTCACCTACCTTAGAAAGGATGGAAGGCTGAGTCAACCTTGAGCCTTGGCGAGATTCGAACCCTGCAGTAATTGCAGGCAGCTGGTCTTAATAACCAGCTTAATAACAGGGTGCCTTAAACCCCTGTACTACCAAGGCTCTTGATTTTGCAGGATCCTTCCCCTGGAGTGGGGATGGAATGGAGATTTTGCAGGATCCTTCCCCTGGAGTGGGGTGGGAATGGAGATTTTGCAGGATTCTTCCCCTGGAGTGGGGTGGGAATGGGGATTTTGCAGGATCCTTCCCCTGGAGTGTGGTGGGAATGGGGATTTTGCAGGATCCTTCCCCTGGAGTGGGGATGGAATGGAGATTTTGCAGGATCCTTCCCCTGGAGTGGGGTGGGAATGGAGATTTTGCAGGATCCTTCCCCTGGAGTGGGGTGGGAATGCAGATTTTGCAGGATTCTTCCCCTGGAGTGGGGTGGGAATGGGGATTTTGCAGTATCCTTCCCCTGGAGTGGGGTGGGAATGGGGATTTTGCAGGATCCTTCCCCTGGAGTGGGGATGGAATGGAGATTTTGCAGGATTCTTCCTCTGGATTGGGGTGGGAATGGAGATTTTGCAGTATCCTTCCCCTGGGGTGGGGTGGGAATGGAGATTTTGCAGTATCCATCCCCTGGAGTGGGGTGGGAATGGAGATTTTGCAGGATCCTTCCCCTGGAGTGGGGTGGGAATGGAGATTTTGCAGGATCCATCCCCTGGAGTGGGATGGGAATGGAGATTTTGCAGTATCCTTCCCCTGGAGTGGGGTGGGAATGGGGATTTTGCAGTATCCTTCCCTTGCCATGCCCACCAAGCCACGCCCACAGAACCAGTAGTAAAAAAATTAAATTTCACCACTGCCCTCTCCTTAGACTAGAGCTGCCCTTCTCCCGGGGTGCCAGTTTTCCTCTGGAGGAAAGCTGCCACTCTGTGGACAGAATGCTTCCTTGGGATTGACCCCAAGGAAGCCATTTCCATCTTGTTTCCCCACCCACCAATGCAGATAAAACCCCCGTTTTGTTTCAAGGGGCTTCCTTTTAAGTAACTTCAACTTTGTACTGGAAAGGAGCCCTTTTATCAAGGCTATGTGGAAGAGCACTTTAATATTTTCCCCGTGGTAAGTGAAGATAAGACTGGATTAAACCATTTAATGGTGTTTGGATTGCTGAAAGGTGTCTCTTTCGGGGCTACCCTTGAAGACAAGGCAGAAGCTACAGCTGGTCCAAGATGCTGCAGGAGAATAATTATGGGCGCATCCCAGTTTACTTGGAGAATGCCTCCAATGGGAGAGCAACACTGGTTGTCTGTTGTGGCCCGTCAGCAGCCTGTGCAGCTAGTAGTTGATTCCGACAGCGAGGAGGCTGGTGTGGTGCTGCGCCAGCAGCCTGTACAGCTGGCGCTCAAGTCAGACAGTGAGGAGGCTGGAGAAGATGTGGTGCCAGAGGCGGGGACTCAGCCAGGGCCTTCAGAACCTCCAGAAGCTCCCATAAGTGAAGAGGAAGAAGAGGAGGAGCCTCTTCTCAATGCACGGGTGCGCAGAGCTGCCAAAAGGCAGGAGTGGCTCCTCAGGAGGAGGTCTCCTCAAGAGTAAGGCTTGGGGCTAATTGGGCACTCCTTAGCCTATATAAGGAAGGATGATGACTGAAGCAATTTGCAAGGAACAAGTTCGTTCACTCTCCTTTGAGTCCTTGATCTTAGTTCTCTTATCGGTTTCCTGCAAATTGCTTCTGGGCTTTCTGCCAACCATAGTAAGATTACGATTATTTATTCTTTGGATTCTTGTAGGCTGTTAAGAAAGTTAATTAACAGCCTTTATTTGAAAAAGACTGGTTTAATTTAGTAAACTAAGGTTTGTACAGACTGTGTGTGCTGCGTTCTTTGGGATCCGTAGCTGGGGCAGAACAGTTGTCCATTGGATTTCAGGGAAAGACAATGATTTGAAAAGGAGTTTTAATAGAAACAAATACTTTTGCACTCCATGAACGGATTCACACAGGAGAGACGCCATATAAATATATAGTGTGAGAATGAGTTTTAAAGTGAACAGTAGACTTATACTGACCCTCAAAGAATTCACCCAGGGGAAAAAAAACCATATAGATTTGTTGAGTGTGGAAGGAGATTCCTTGAGAACAGCTATTTTATGAAACACAAATCCACAGGCAAGAAACCACATTTATGTGTGTTTGTTTAGAAAATTTATATGGCCACCTATTCAGTGACTCTGGGTGCTTACAAAAAATAAAAATAATATATACAACAATAAAAACAATAACCCCTACCCATCTGGCAACAGTAATCAGTCAAATGAGCCACTCGTTGGGCTCCATCCCACTCCAGGTTCTCCAGGCCCACCCATGGACAATATCAAGTCTTCAGGCCTTGCGAAAGAGTGTCCAAGTAGGGGGCAGTTTAATTTCCATGGGGTTGATGTTCAAAAGAGAGGGAGCCACCACAGTTATGGAGTCACAGTCACATCCTGTCAACAAGACTAACACTATTTACGTATGAAGTGTTCGTGGTCAGCCCCTTAGCTCTTTGCTAACAGAGGCCAAACCAGTACTGATTTACAGCAAAAGCACAAATAAAGTGATTAAGATAGGGAAGCTATGGCTGAAGCTAATTCATGCCTCACTTGCAAAAGCCCTTTAACATTTTGCTAATAATTAACAGGCCAGGGCCTTAAGCCCTCACACCTCTAGTGTCCCAATTTAAATCATAAGATGTTTTGTCTTTGTTATGATTTACAGTAGACAAAGTAATTCTGGTTCCTATGTAAATTATATGATTTTATTTCATATAATTAATTCCAAAATTTTATAGAAAAAGTTTCAAATTTCTAAATTTGGACCCTTAATTCATTTATAACTTTCTCGCTTAAAACTTTTAAATAAAATTATTTAATATTAAGCTTTTTTCCTACCCGTGTTTCCCTGAAAATAAGACTTGAGTCTAATTTTCTTTTGGGCCCCAAAATAAGCCCTAGTCAGGGGTGAAATCCAGCAGGTTCTGGAGAACCGGTAGCAAAAATTTTGAGCAGTTCGGAGAACCAGCAAATACCACCTCTGGCTGGCCCCAGAGTGGGGTGGGAATGGAGATTTTGCAGTATCCTTCCCCTGCCACGCCCACCAAGCCACACTATGCCCACCAAGCCACGCCCATAGAACCGGTAGGAAAAAAAATTGGATTTCACCACAGGCCCTGGTGCTTATTTTGGGGGGGGGCTGTCTTATTTTTTTTCCCCATGTACAGGAGGCCCACTTCTATTTGCTTGCGGAGGAGCAGAAGGCTACACAGTATGCCAGTGCTGCTGCCATGAAGCAGGGAAGGGTGGAGCTGCCCCACGCACCCTGCATTGGCTTACCTCAGGGCCCCAGCAGCCAGGCCACCCACGCCCCGACACCTGCCTCACTCCATAGTCGTAGCTCTGGCAACCCTGTCCATCAGGATCCTGCGTGGTCTCCAGCCCACTTCTTCTGCTTGCTCATGGCTGCAACTAAGGAGGCGGCTGAGTAACACACTGCTGCCATGCGGCAGGTGTTGGGGCGTGGGTGGCCTGGCTGCTGTGGCCCTGAGGTAAGCTGGTGCGGGGTATGTAGGGCAGCTCCACCATCCCGCCTCATGGCCATGGCACTGTGAGCAACCATACGGAATAGGTGGGCTGCCAGCTGTGCAGGCTCTTAAGTAGGGCTTATTTTGGGAATAAGGCTGATATTAGGCGCAGGTGTAAAAAAAAACCCTAGGTCTTATTTTCGAGATAGGTCTTATTTTCAGGGAAACAGGGTATTTATTTTAAATTCTTTGAATTCCTAACTTATTAATCCTTATAATTATTTTTTTTCTTTTCTTCAGAAATGAAGATAGACTGGAAGGCGATTTTTCAAGCTTGTCATTCGGAAAATCTCTAGTACCTTTAAGATGGTTAGATAAGCAATTTCTGAAAGTGATTAGGAGTGAGGTTAGCAAACTCAGTGTCCTTTAAAAGGCTCTACCACAATTGTGAGTGTGGGATGCCCCCACCCCCAGAATGAAATATTTTGGGGGATATTAAAAGAGGCAGAATATTATATTTCCCCTAAAGGAGAAGAGGACATGTTCTTATGGGGCAGAAAGCAGCCCCAGTCTTCCTGCTACAGGAAAAAGGCCTCAAGCAGAAGCCTGAAGTCTTTAGGAATGGAGATTTTGTACCCATTCAAAAAGACTGGGCCAATCTATTCATAAGCAGAGACTCCAAATAAGCAACACAATCAGGCAAGCCAAAACTGACCAGATTAGCTCAGACAAACAAACACTTTCCTGATTTTGCCTATAGAGGGGGCACATGAGCTTGATGATTAATCCCTTTGCCTCCTGGCATTCAAACCCATGGAAAACAGCCCCAACTGTGATTTCTTTGTATGGAACTGCATTCTGGAGCACATGTAGATAATCTCCCATCCTCCTTTTCTGGAGAACTGGTCTATAAATTGAAAGCCTTCGGAGAGAAATAACCATCATTCTCTCTGTTTGTCTTAGGCTTTGTAGTTCATCAGTATCAGCTCCCAAATCAAATTTCACCATCCTATCTTCAGTTAGAAGATTTAAAGTTACCATAAGTAGCTTTTTATCTAGTCCTTGGAGCTCCACCTGGAAATAAATGCATGATACTTTAGGATCTGCCTTACACAGTAGGACAGCCAGCCTAACAGATCATGAAACAAAAGGTTTGTCCCTTAGGGCAATTTCTTCTGAAATGCTTTTTTCCCTGCCACTTTTGTGCCTGCTTGAGTCCATTTTAGCGCTCAATCTTCCTTTTGAGTGCTTCTTCAAACATCAAATTTGATCGAATTCCATTTTGAGAGTTAGATGCTTATTTGATGGTTCTCAGGAGGCTTTTTTTCCCTCTCTGATGCCCTAGAACAACAAGATGAGAAAAATCAGAGCTGGAAGGGACCTTAATAAACTATCCAATACCCATTTCTCTTGAACCAGCATAGTGAGATGGTGAATGAAAAGAGGCAAAGGTGTTTGGAGGTATAACTCACCTGAGAAGCTGGGATGTCTCCATTGCGTTCTTCACCAGCAGTGTTGTTGAGGGATGGGACTCCTCCTATCTCTTTCAATGGGCATTTTTCAGCATTATCCAAGCCGGAATTGGGGTCACTCTCTGAAGGAAAAAAAGGGACATGAAGTCCGTGTTGAGAAACGGACCTATTCACCTATTCTCACACTTAATGATCTGCAGGTCTCCTTTGTGCTGGTCCCAGAAATACACCACCAGGGTCCCTTTTGCACCATCCATACTCTCTTCAAAGCTGAACTGCAATTGCTTTCATTACTGTGGTTCTCAATAAACAAATGAACAAGTATAATGTTTTGGATTCATTAGTTTAATTGGGCACTCTTTATTTAGTTTTAGGACTTGGTAGAAAATGCATCACATCTGTGGTCATATTTATGCAGAAATATTGGAAATTCAAAGAGGTTCTCAAACTTTAGGTGAGTCAGAGGAAAAAATGGGTCCATCACCTCGTGGATCACCTTTCCTGGGATTCAGGGCACTCTGCTCTTATCCCTAGTTCTTGGTTGCTTCTCTCCTTGATTAGTTTCCATCCATTGCTTCTTGTTCTGCCTTCAGGTGCTCTGGAGAATAAGTTGACTCCCTCTTTTTTGTGGCAACCCCTGAGATATTGGAAGACTGGCTATCATGTCTCCCCTAGTCCTTCTTTTCATTAAACTAGACGTACCCAATTCAAGCATGTGTTCCTTATATGTTTTAGCCTCCTAATCATTTTTGTTGCTCTTCTCTGCACTCTTTCTAGAGTCTCAACAGTTTTTTTACATCGTGGTGGCCAAAAATGGATGCAGTTTATAAAGTGGTATTAACACTTCACGTGATCTTGAAGTGGGAGGGTCCCTCCTGTTTTACTGATCAGCTTCCATCCATGCTAAAAGCTCCGTGTTCTTGGTACAGAGTTTGGTCAATTGTTAAAATTAAGGATACAAAGTTGCACTCTGTCAATTTGCATGGTTTCCTACCAGTTGGTGATATTTGAAAGACTGAGGGTAACAAAGTCAAAAGAATTTTGACTTTGTATGCCGCCTTGAGTCTTCAGAGAAAGGCGGCATACAAGTTGAACAAATAAACAAATAAATTTTTCAGTCTTTCCTTAGCATATCATCGACACTTCAAATGAGGACAAGTCAGAAACACATCTAGAGAGATACAATGAGGATCAGTATTTGGGACAGCAAATATATGCCTATTTAGATGATCCTCGACTTACAACCATTGGTTCAGCGACCATTTGAATTTACAATGGCACTGAAAAATGTGCCCTATGACCATTTTTCACTCTTACCACCGTTGCTGCATCCCTATGGTCAAGTGAGAAAAATTCGGATGCTTGGCAACTGGCAGGTATTTATGACGGTTGCAGTGTCCCAAGGTCATGCGAACACCATTAGCAACTTTCTGACAACAGAATTAATGAGTAAGCCAGATCTACTTAACAGCCGTGTGGCTAACTTAACAACTGTTAAGATTCCTATTTTCTTTCATATTTTGTGACTTATTTTATCTTATACCTCAATAAAAATGTTAACGATTAAAAAAAAACAACTGTTAAGATTCACTTAATAATTGTGGCAAAAAAGGTTGTAAAATGGGGCAAAACTCACTTAACAAATGTCTCACTTAGCAACAGAAATCTTGCGCTCAATTGTTGTGATAAGTCGAGAATTACCTGTAGATTTCTGCCTACTCAAAGGTGGATATGGAGCCCATGGAGGAAAAACTCTTATGGGAGGGTATTTGAAGCCTCTTTACTGAAAATATTCCTCTGTATGTCTTCCCGATTCTTTCACTGTCTCAAGATCATCCTCAGCATTTAAATCACAGAACATCCTTAGGTTTTATTCATATTTAACGGAACAAAATACTGTACTTTTTGGAGTATAAGATGCACCGGACTATAAGACGCACCTACCTTTTTTGGTGAGGAAAAGAAGAAAAAGAAATCTCCCTCTGCCTCTGCCTCTGAGCAACTTTGCCTCTTTGCAGCAAACAGCAAACCGCCTGCTTTATTTTCATTTTTGTTTTCAGCATAGCTTGATTAGCACAAGGAAAAAAAAATCTGCTCCAGCAATTTATCTCTTTGCAGCAAGCAGCAGAGCTCTGCGCATAACAGCTGAGAGCAAATCAGCTGAGAGTCGGCAGGCCGATCCAATCAACTTGTGCTAATTAGGATGTGCTGAAGCTGAAAGGAGTTGTTTTTTCTTGCTGTTTGCTTGCAAGGAGGTAACTGCTGGGAGGCAGAGGCCAAAGGGTGGGGGCCAGTGGGTGGGCGGGGCTACATTCGGTGTATAAGACGCACCTAAATTTTCACCCCCTTTTAGGGGGGAAAAAGGTGTGTCTTATACTCCGAAAAATATGGTAATGAAGTTGGAAGGGGACTTTCAGCCTCCTGGTATTGGATGCTCCTGAAGTTGCAGGACCAAACTTCTGAAGGGATGATGGTTTCCTCCTCCAGCATCTTCTGCCCAGTTCTTGCCCAAATCTGCCCATAACTCTGGAGCTCCGCTTCCCCCCTGCATGGAAAGGGCAGATGCATAGGATTTGGGACTAAAACCAGAGGAAGGCTGGCCACGGTGCTCGCCCTCCTCTGCCTCCCTTTGCACAGAAAGAGCCTCCCTTGCTCCCATTTTTCATCTGGACCAAGTCCTTTAATTTCTCCTAGGCTTCTAGCAATGACATAGAAAGATACTGTATATATGGCATGTACTTTTTCAAATATTAATGGTATGAGCCCTTCTGTCCCTTTTTTTGCTTCTGACAATCATGCAAACAGGCAAAGAGATCACTCACTTGCAGCTGGTCTGTAGTCACGCCGACGCTTCTCTGCAAGAACAAATATCGGAGAGTTAAAACTAAAAAGAATCCACCGGAGACCATTCAATCTCTTTCTTTATGCCAGAAAATGCCCCAAGAGACCTTGCCATAGTTGTCATGCCTTATCTGAGAAACTACCCTAAGATAGTTAAACTATCTTATAAACTGCTCACTCCAGCAGTTTGAGCCTGACCAGCTCAAGGTTGACTCAGCCTTCCATCCTTCCAAGGTCGGTAAAATGAGGACCCAGATTGTTGGGGGCAATAGGCTGACTTTGTAAACCGCTTAGAGGGGGCTGTAAAGCACTGTGAAGCGGTATATAAGTCTAAGTGCTATTGCTATTAAGCAGAAATAGGAATCTCTTCAAAATACAAATGTACCTCCTTTGCTCCATGGGAAACCTACTGCCTCTGGAAAGGATTGAGTACAATTGATAGAAACCGCTGGGTAAAAAGATATATTTTGTTGAAATATTTTTCTGCTGCTTTTTGACCCAAAACTATTGAAGGGTAGAATTGCAATGCCTCTTCCCAATTACGAAGAGAACATGGAGCTGTTCTAACCTTCGACCAAGCTAAGTCCTTACTTGGGGTCCTAGCAAGAAGCTAAGAGTTCAGAAGCTCCTGAGGAGAACTGAGGAAATGTGGAAGAAAGACGCACAGAGGTGCCCCAAAGGGAAACTTAGAAGGAAAATAGCTTTCACAGCTTACTACCCACAACAGCAAAGATATTTACAGGATACTTACTGTAGCAAAAGATTCCAATAATTATAGACAGTAGGATAAGGATGCCAAGAACAGCAGAGCAAATGATGAGTACTAGCTGGAAATTTTCCTCAGTTTGAGTTACGACTGTTGGAGCTGAATTGGGGGGGGGGGGAAAGCAAAGTAGTTAAAAGGAAACCAAAATAATATTAGTGTTTGTGGAGAGGATTAAAGCAGGCCCCTCATCTTGAATTAGCTAGGAGTACAAACAGTATGGGAGACAGGCAGCCCCTCAAGGGCCTTTTACCATGTAAGGCGACTCATAACCAGCATCATAAAGATGGTCATAAAACCAACTCGGGTCATGTGGGAACTTGTCTAATGACTACCCATCTTATAACTAAGTCTCCATGCCCAATTGTAATATTAAGTCAATGACTACCTATAATGTGAACGTGCTTGGAAAAAAATGCGTAGAAGACGGTAAAACCATATTGAATATCACATTAGAGGCACTAAATTGGGAAGAGAACATTAGAGATCCAAGAACATCTCATCACAATTAGCCTATATTAGTGTGATGGAATTTTTCAGCCATCTTTAAATAACTTCAGGCAAATTGTACAGACTCTTCACTGAAAGTCCACAAATGAAAATAAATGGGAGTATTAATAAAATCAATGCAGGGAACTGCCAGGGCGAAATTCATCACCCACAATTCTCCCCCTCACTGCAATTTGTCACCTTTTACACTGAGTGGTTTCTGCAAGCCTTCATGTTCAACATAGCAACGGTAGCGGTCCTCCTCCATGGGGTTAATGTCAATGCTGATCCAGGTGCAGTAGGTCCCGTCCCAATTACGGATGGGATCCCCACGAAAAGTCTCTTGATCCCAGTTCTCCCCATCCTTCATCCAGGTGGCATCTATGTCTTCAGGATAAAAGTTGCAGATAGAGCAGTTCAAGAGGGTCTCATTAACACTCAGCACATGAGTAGTTACTTCAGCTGAGGGGCCTGCAGAAACAGAAGCATCAGAAGACAGAGTCATTCCTATGGTTGGCAACGCAGGACAAAGTATATATCTGCTCCTATACGGGATATTCTCTATCCCTCATTGACGAAATACTTCAGATGTAAAAAATTCCAAAGAGATGTCTTGTAGAGAAATATGATTTTGCGTAGACTACTGGCAAATAAACTGAGTGGAAATATTCAATGGGTGTCCAATGTCCAGAGTTAGTGATCTCTTGGACAGCCTAGTTAAGGGTCCCCCAAACCCCCCAGGGCACGATCCACTACTGGGCCATGAGCCGTTCGGAGCTGTTTGGAAGTGGTAATTAACCATGCGCACACAGATCCCCACTTGCATGAGCAGGGGGCGAGATAGTACAGGTAGTCCTCAACTTAGTACCATAATTGAGCCCAAAAATTCTGTTGTTAAATGAGACATTTCTTAAGTGAGTTTTTCCCCATTTTACAACCTTTCTTGCCACAGTTGTTAAAGTAAATCACTGCAGTTGATAAGTGAGTAACCCAGCTGTTAACTGAATCTGCTTTCCACATTGACTTGATTTGTCAGAAGGTCACAAAAAGGGATCACATGACCCCAGGACACTGCAACCCTCATAAATACGAACCAGTTGCCAAGCATCTGAATTTTGACCACATGGGATGCTGCAATGGTGGTAAGTGTGAAAAATGGTTGTAAGTCACATTTTTCACTGCTGTTGTAACTTTGAACAGTCACTAAATGAACTGTTGTAAGTTGAGGACTACCTGTACCTTTCCAGCTGGAACCCAGACTTTTTCTCTGTTGTGATTTCTCACCTGTTTTCTGCAAGACAAAATCCAGGGGGTCGCTGGAGCTGATATGTTCCACATGGCATCTGTAGAGTTTCCTCTCCTTGGGATTGATCTGAATACTCAGCCTGGCATTAAAAGTCCCATCTGAATTCGGGGCAATGTGCACAGAACTGTTGGTTTGGTTGAAGATTTCCTCATCCTTCCTCCATCTGACACTGATGTCCTTGGGATAGAAGCCATAGGCCTGGCAGGTGAGGGCTTGAAGGTTTCTGATGTTGACCTCTTGATGAGTCACTTTCACTATTGGAAGCACTGCAAAGTAACAATGATGGCCTGTGATGAAAGAACAGCCCTCCTCTGACTGATACAAGGATTCTAAACACAAATGGTGGAAAGTTTCCCAGAGGACCATCTACACTGGAGATTTTTAAAATTGGACAGCCATTGGTCTGAAATGATGTAGGATAAGCAGTGGACCCCAACATTTTGGGCATCAGGGACCGGTTCCGTGGAGAGAGGTTTTTCCACAGACTGGAGGGGGTGTGGTTTGACATGCTGCTTGCATCTCACGGATGGAGCTTCACTTGTTTACACAGCCCAGTTTCGGGCATGCTGCGAACCGGTGCTGGTCTATGAACTGGGGTTTGGGACCCCTGGACTAGAAGATCTCCAAGGTTTCTTCCAGCTCTGTTATTCTGTATTCTGGAGGTCAACACTCTATGTCACTGTCTCCTTGCAAGTAGCCATCATTTGGGATAGAATGATTGTGAATGCTGCACAATCCAGATGTAAGTTGGGCACAAGGAACACTCTGATTCCCTTCCCCTAAATGCCAGGAGCATCATTTACAAGCAATACAAGCTTACCCCCTCCCTAGCCAATGTGGGGATTATTAGTTTCTATATCAGGGTCCAGAGACACTGAGATTAAGTTGGGGAGCCATATAAATTTTCTAAATAAATAAATGCAGAACAAAGGAGGATTGGCACTACCAAAAACATGGGCAGACTTTGCAAATGGGGAGAAAGAGGCAGCTGTGATACCCCCCCCCCCAAACACACATATACATACATCAAGCATGCAACTACACTATTAATTTGAAGCCAAATCCCAGCAAAGAGAGCAAGCAGCATTTCAAGCATTAAAACAATTATTTGTTTCTCAGCTTTCCCTCCTTGTTTTTTTCAGACATGACCAGGATCAAACCCAGGTCCTCTCTTTGCCTAAAATCATCAGATACAAATGTATGCTTTCATTGTTTGATATTGTTCTTTTAAGATGTTGTAAGCCATCCAGAGTCACTGGGTAGCAAATAAATTTAATAAATAAATATACTTGTCTTTATTCAGGAAAATTCAGCCTAGTGGAAATTTAGCCTGCGACAATGTTTATTGCTTTGTGGATATTTCTGCAAATGGCGTGGTATAGTGAAGAGATGCCAGAGGGGAAACCATTTCATACTGGACTGGCATTTTTAAATACTCTTGATACATAAGAAATTATTTCTGCAAGTAGAACATTTTCCATGGGGAAGAAAAATTTAGATCCAACAACTTGGAACAAAAAACAGAAGAGATATTTGTTTTTTTAAAAAATCTGAGCTGCTTACAACCACCATAGCATCTTGTTTGACTCCAGAGCCTATTATTGATAGTGTAGGAAGGGCCCCATTCCCCAGAATAAAATATTCCTCAGAATAAGAAAAGAAGCAGAATAGAATATTTTCCCTAAAGGAGAAGAGGAGAAAAACCTCCTTTAAAAAGGCAGAAAGCAACCCCGGTTTTTCCTCACTAAAATAGCCTGCAGGCAAACAAAGCTTAAGGAAATTAAGTTTCATTCATAAAACAATGTATACATTGTAAAACTGGACTGATCTCCAAATAGACAGCAGAATAGATCAGGAGCTGAAACTGACAGGATTAGATAAGCAATTCAAAACATCTAGGAGTTACATTTCCCCTTTTGCCTTTAGGTCCAGTCATGATGCCATGGACCAGGGGTGTCAAACTTGATTTCATTGAGGGCCGCATCAGGGTTGTATTTGACCACTGGGGTGTATGGCCAGGTGGGCATGGCCAGCTCAACATCACTCCTGTCAGGGGCATCTGTGGTGGCCCGAGCACTCTGCCAGCTAAAATGGGCTCCCGAACACCGTTTTCGGCTGCCAGGGCCAACCCTCTTCCAGTGAAAACGGAGCTCATGCAGCCCTCCCAAGCTCCAGTTACACTGGCAGAAGCACTGCAGGTCAGTCCTTCACTGTTTCCAGGGTGGCCTCGCAGGCCTGATCTAAGTACCCCGCGGGCATGATCTGGCCCCCGGGCCTTGAGTTTGACACCGCTGCCACAGACCACAATAGGAATCTCTCAACAACAATTAAAACATTAAAGGACACATTTCTACACAGATACAGACATAACTATTACAAAGCCCCAGAAACATAAAAACTCACCGACTCATAACCCCAATTTACCAGTTGCCCCCAGGAACACATGGTGTTGTCACTGTTATTACTGGGCCAATAAACAGAAACTTCCTTTCCAACCACAGCCTGTTTTGAACTTATTTTTTCTTTGCCTGCATTTCTCTCCCAGCTTGGAATAAGACACCGATCAGATTTAACTTCCAACAATAGTTTAAGGAGAAAATAAAAAATGGGAAGAATATGGAAGGATTGTTGTCTACCTTCTGCCAGGCCTACCTTTATTTTGTGGCTTCATGTTCAGGTATCTCTTCAACCACATAATGCAGTTTCCTTTCAAGTAATATCTGTTTTTGTGAAATTCCTCTCCTTTCATCTCTTCTCCATCAACAACATCCTGATGAATTTCTATTTCCTCTCCATGAGCTGTGAGTTTACAGCCCTCAATGCACTGTAAGGTGTGATCTATATAAAAGATAGATGTGGACCAGCTTAGTGACACAAACACGAAGTTCCCCCACCTCATCTCTGCCATTGTGATCTTTTAGTGTTTTACTAAATTCACAAGATGATCAGGAAGCATTTATAAAAGATTGAACCAGAAATAAGAGAAACAACACTTTCCCCTCCTAATTATGGGAATAGAATATTACCTCCTTTAGATACGGAAGTTCACTTACGCTAGCAAAAGTGGCATATTGAAACCTATCCAGCTTGTAGAAAACATCAAATTTCTACAATGCCTTGTGTAAGGAATTAGAAATTTGAAAAATACAGGTAGATCTCCTCTTACAACAGTTCATTTAATGATTGTTTGAAATTACAATGGCACTGAAAAGAGTGACTTACAACCGTTTTTCACACTTATGACCCTTGCGGCATCCCCATCATCACATGATCAAAATTCAGATCCTTGACAATTAACTCATATTTATAATAGTGGCGATGTCCCTGGAGTAACATGATCACCTTTTGTGACCCTCCGACAAGCAAAATCAATGGGAAAATCACATTTACTTAACAACCATGTCACTAAGCAACTGCAGTGGTAAACAACACAGTGGCAACAACTGTGGCAAGAAAGGTTGTAAAATGGGGTAAAATTCATTTAACAAATGTCGCTTAGCATCAGAAATTTTGGGCTCAGTTGTGGTTGTAAATCAAGGACTACCTGAATCTAGGGAAAGGTAGCAAAACTTTATGAGTGGGGTGGTCAATTGTGCTCTGAATTTAGTGGGGTTTTTTGATAGACATTTCATTACCAAATCAGGTAACATCATCAGTGCTAGACGGGAGTAGGGTTTCTTATTTTTATGTACCAGTGGCTTGCCCTGTCAGCATTGATGGGGCTATTGTTGTTGGTTCCTTGATTACTATTAGCTTGTTTGTCTGCATTAGTAACTACTTGATTGCGGTATTTACTTGATTGTTGGTCTAGTTAATTTTGGTGTTAATCTCTATTAACATGGGTGTTGATTGTGGGTGAGGAAGTGTTTTGGTTTTTTTATTTCCTTTTGGGTTTTTGGATAGTCTCTTTTAAGTGGTAGGCAAATGTTGTTTTTCATTATGTGTCTATTTATGGATCCATGGTCCATTTGGCTGAGTGCCAGGTCTCCAGGACAGTGGTGAAATCTAACATTTGTTACTACCAGTTCTGTGGGCGTGGCTTGGTGGGGAGGGGGTAATGTGACTGGGTGGGCATGGCCATTTTTTTTTCTTTTAAAACCATTTTTTCTACAACGTCTTCGGTGAAGAGGTTGTAAAAAAATGCTTTCAAAAGGCTCTGACGATCCCAGCTGAGTTGCCTGATCGGCAGAGGCTTTTTTTCTTTTAAAAGCCTCTGCCGATCAGGCAACTCAGCTGGGATCGTCAGAGGTGTTTAAAAGAAAAAAAACCTCTGCCGATCAGGCAACTCAGCTGGGATCATCAGCTGAGCCGCGTGATCATCAGAGGCTTTTTTTTTACTTTTAAAAGCATTTTTTCGGCCGAAGAGGTTGTAGAAAAAATGCTTTTAAAAATTAAAAGAAAAAGCATCTGATGATTGTGCGGTTCAGCTGGGCATGGGGGGGGGCAGGGATTTTTGCTACCGGTTCTCCGAACCACCCGCCTCCATCGCTACCAGATCGGGAGATCCGGTCTGAACCGGGAGCATTTCACCCCTGCTCCAGGAATTCTCTGATACTTTCGAACTTTGATCTACGATGCTCACAGTTTACCAGTTGAATAACTTATGTTATGTTATGTTATGTCCATTCAAGTGCAAAATGAAGAAGAGACTATAATTGATAATATCATTGTGGAAAAAAGCACTTATCTAGATTTAGCACAGACGGTGCAGTTTGGAAGCCAGTAACATATAGATAATCCTCTACTCACAACCAAAATTGCCCCCAAAATTTATGTTAGAATAGAATAGAATAACAGGGTTGGAAGGGACCTTGGAGGTCTTCTAGTCCAACCCCCTGCTTAGACAGGAGACCCTACACCACTTCAGACAAACGGTTACCCAACATCTTGTTAAAAACTTCCAGTGTTGGAGCATCCACAACTTCTGGAGGCAAGTTGTTCCTAAATAAGGTTGCTATATATAACAACAATAATATTGTTAAATAAGAAATTTGTTAAGCAAGTTTTGTCCCATTTGACAACTTTTTTGTCACATTTGTTAAGTGAGTCACTGCAGTTGTTAAATTAGTAACATGGTTGTAAAGTGAATCTGGTTTCCCTATGGATGTTGCTTGTTAGAAGGTTGCAAAAGGGGATCATGTGACTCTGGAACACTGCAACCATCATAAATGTGAGTCAGTTTCAAATGTAAATCACGTGACCGTGGGGATTCTGCAACAGTCATAAGTGTGAAAAACGATCATAAATCACTGATGAATGCTATTCCAGTCCTATGCCCAGACCTGAATCTTGACTGGAAGGGGTCCAGATAATATATTCTCTCCTGAGTCAACTTGGCATCAGCCATTTTTCCACCCAGACCACACAACAAACATCTCCACCTGGTGAAAGAAGGAGGCCTCATTTGTCAACAGAGAAGATGGGTCATTCCTTTCCTAATGCTAAGGATCCATATTGGATCAGTTCCTAAACATCTGTATTGAGCCTCTATTTGGCTTTCAGCTGAATCAGCAATGAACGAATGTTTAGCTTCAAACAGTGGTGGGCTCCTCCCAATTCAGTCCAGTTCCGCCGAGCCGGTAACGGTGATGATATGATGTCACCGAACTGGTTCTGTACCCCCTGTCCCCGCCCCTGCCCCACCCACCCCCCACATTATTCTTACCTTTTATTTGGCCCCACCCCCAATCTATTGCTGCCTCCTGAGTCCCAGCTGCTGGCTAGAGGGAAAAAACCTGTTCAAACTCTTGCAGTGGGGCTTCAAAGGGCCGCCCTACAGCTGATCAGTGTTAAAAGAAAACAAATGAGTAGACTGGTGCCTGCAAAAATAAATGGGTAGACCAGTGTCTGCAAAAATACATGAGTAGATCAGTGCCTGCAAAAATAAATGGGTAGACCATTTCCTGCAAAAATAAATGGGTAGACCAGTACCTCTGCTAAATCCTAAAGAATTGTCACATGACCATCAAGCCACACCCACAAAATAAGCCACGCCCACAGAACCAATAGTAAAAAAAATTAGAACCCACCCCTGGCTTCAATGCTCAATTGGGGTTTTCATTTAATGGGGGGGAAGGGCGGGATTATTACTGCTTTTTCTTACCCTTGCTCTGGTTGTGTTTCTCTGGAACTGATAATTCTTGCAATTTTTCTAGGAAACTATGCTTGACATATTCCATAACTGATTCCCAGTCCCAGTAATCTTCATCCAGCGTCTGGCTAATCCACAGGGGGAAAGGCCTCATTCTTCTTGTGTTGCTGTCATAATGTTGGATAGGCTGGCTATCCAAGTAGGTTACCTCAACGAATTTGGGCTGCCCTTCAAGGAGCACAGCATGGCGGAAGTACAGCAGAGAATGTGAAGAGGAGGCAGTGCCTGCAAGAGAGGAAACAAAGAAATGATTAGAGGACTGACAGTCAGGAGACATCAAAAGACAAATACAACTGTATTTGCTCACTTATATATCCCTAGTGTCTACTACCTTTCCTCCAAGCTCTTAGAATTCTTATCACCCATACAATTTATTGTCCATACAACCTGATTAAGGAAAATTCACTCTTGGACTAATATCACTCAGAGGAGCTTCAGTGCTTCCACTCACTCCATAAGTGTGAGGAACTGGGGGGAGCGGGGGAGGGGGGTATAGCTGCAGCCAGGCAGAAATCCTTCTATCCCCATTTCCCTCATCCATTCAAAACTTAAAACTTTACTCAAAAGCATCCAAACCAGCGACCTGTGCTAATGGAACCAAAGTCTGGCATTTTCAAGGATGTCTTGGCACCCAGAGGCATCCTCACCTTACCCAGACTCTTAAGTTTGCAAAATTGCGTCCCTTTCTGGATCGGGACGCCTTGCGCACGGTCACTCATGCCCTAGTTACCTCCCGTATGGACTACTGTAATGCTCTCTACATGGGGCTCCCCTTGAAAAGCACCCGGAGGCTCCAACTGGTCCAGAACGTAGCCGCGCGGGTGATTATGGGCGCAGCTCGTTACGCCCATGTAACACCTCTCCTACGCGAGCTGCACTGGCTCCCGGTGGTCTTCCGGGTGCGATTCAAGGTGTTATTTATCACCTTTAAAGCGCTCCATGGCTTAGGACCTGGGTACCTACGAGACCGTCTTTTGCCACCAATAGCCTCCCACCGACCAGTTCGTTCTCACAGGGAGGGACTACTCAGGGTACCGTCAGTCAAATTATGTCGACTGGCGACTCCCAGGGGGAGGGCCTTCTCTGTGAGGGCTCCAACCCTTTGGAATGAACTGCCCCCGGAGATACGGAATATCCCTGATCTCCGTGCTTTCCGCCGTGCCCTCAAGACCCTGATGTTCCAACAGGCGGGGCTAAACATATGAACATGTGAATGATTTTTTAAATGTGATCTAATTCTGGGTTTTATTTAATTGACCAAACTAAGTAATAATTTTAATTAGCAATTTTACGATGTTTGTTTGTCTATATTTTTCTTGACTGTACACCGCCTTGAGTCCTACGGGAGAAAGGCGGTATAGAAATATAATAAATAAATAAATAAATAAATAAATAAATAAATAAATAAATAAATAAATAAATAAATAAATATAAAATGCTAAGATAGAGGGGGGGTATACATATGCTCCCAATGTACAACCACAAACTTTTCGTTGCTAAGCAAGACAATTGTTAAGTGAGTTTTGCCCCATTTTATATCCTTTCTTGCCACAGTTGTTAAGTGAATCACTGCAGTTGTTAAGTTAGTAAGACAGTTGTTAAATGAATCTGGCTTCCCCATTGACTTTCCTTGGCAGGTCACAAAAGGTAATTGCATCATCCCGGCATGCTGCAACTGTCATAAATACATGTCAGTTTCTAAGCGTCCAGATTTTGATCACATGACCCTGGGGATGCTGCAACAGTTGAAAGTGTGAAAAACAATCATAAGTCACCTTTTTCAGTATCATTATGACTTTGAATGGTTACTAAATGAATGGTTGTAAATCGAGGACTACCTGCATAGGAAGAAAGGTCGAAGCAAATGGCATCTATTACAATATACCGTATTAGTATTTAAGATGTGGTGAGTGGATTCAATTTCTATCACTTGCTCATCCACTATTTTGGCTTCTTGTAACTGTCCCAACTTCTCTGAATCTTTCTTAAAGTATGTTGCCAGGAATGGACACACAGGAGTACTTGAAGTGGGATTAAGCTAATTCAGAACTGAGTAAAACAATTCTTTCCTCTAATTTGGAAACTATTTCTATTAATACAGTTAGTCCTCAACTTACGATCACAATGGAGCCCAAAATTTATGTTGTTAAGTGAGAAATGTGTTAAAATGAGTTTTGCCCCATTTTACAATTTTTTCTTGCCACATTTGTTAAGTAGCATGCGAAATAACTTTATTTATATTCCCATTTTATTTTTTTTATAAATAACTCCAGGCGGCAGACATGACTAAGACTCCTTCCTCCTCTACTTTCCTGTGAACAAGAACCCTAAAGTCACACAATCAGTTTTCATGCCAAAGGCAGGAATGGAACTCACAGTCCTATTGTTTCTAGCCTGGAACTTTAACCACTAGACCAAATTGGCTCTCAGTATTAACTTATTAATTTTAAAGAATATTAACATCAGCAGTTTGGGAGATGGTTATTTGCAAGAAGGCACCCTATCATTCCAGAGCAGCGGAAAGTGAGGGAAAAGCATGAAGATGATCAATGGAGGAGCATCAGAAGTGGAATCTAAATAAGGAATAGTTGATTGAAAGATGGATAGGTATAGACATGTTTTTAAATGAACAAATAAACTCTCTGGAAGTTCTACAATTGCAGAAAACTGCAACTCACTCTCCCCAAATCTTTTATAGCCCTCAGAGCAACTTCTCATTAAAAGATTGACAGTTTCTTTTCTAATACTGTGAGGTGCCACATGAACGAAAACTATCTTGTAAATACAGTACTAAATAGGTATACAAATTAAAGGGGGGAAAAGGTAAATAAACGTTCTAGAATTTCCTAAATAGCTCAGTTCCACCAGCAAGTGTAATCCTGTCTCACTCGCTGTAACTTTCTCATCCGTCTCGTTTCTATTAAATGTGCCCTTGACACTGAAAAGTTGCCACTCCTGTCTAATTTGCTTTGGTAGCAGAAGGAGAAAGAGGAAAAGAGTTTCCAAGAAAGCACAATTTTCTGTTTACACTATGAATGAGACAGGATTACACTTGCTGGTGGAATGGAGCTATTTAGGAAATTCTGGAACATTTATTTACCTTTTTTTCCTTTAATTTGTATGCCTATTTAGGACTTAGGGTTTGGCTTATCTGTAGAAAAGAAGGACAAGGGGGACATGATAGCAGTATTCCAGTATTTGAGAAGCTGCTACAAAGAGGAGGGAATCAACTTATTTTCCAAGCACCTGAAGGCAAGAGAAGAAACAATGGATGGAAACTAATCCAGGAGAGAAGCAACCTGGAATTGAGGAGAAACTTCCTAACAGTGAGGACAATTAACCAGTGGAACAGCTGGCCTTCAGAAGTTGAGGGTGCTCCAATACTGGAAGTTTTTAAGACATGTCTGAAATGGTATAGGATCTTCTGCTTGAGCAGGGGGCTGGATTAGAAGTCCTCCAAGGTCCCTTCCAGCTCTATTCTGATTGGATTCTAGACTAGCAAAAGGTTCTGAGTGGTCTTCAAGAACAGCCCTGTGAAGAGCACTGTGTAATAGTTGAGTTGTGACCATTTATGTTAATGATTTTCAACTATTACAGATAAATTTCCCTTTGCGGTATATACACAAAGGGAAATATAATGAACTCAAGTATGTTTTGATTTTTCGGCATGGACTAGAAACCTTAGTTGCCTCAAAGAAAACTGAGATGTTATCATTGTTAATTGAGGCAGTTTCCACAATCAAATTGACTTTGAAATTTTGTCAGAAATGAAAAAATAACTATAAAGTTGAAATTATTGAATTTGAATAGTTGAATTCAACTATAAAGTCGAAATGCTTATGAGTTATGGAGTAATGAGTTGGAATATCAGATGACGGGTCATCTATTTTTGTTTTAAAGGTTATTTTTAACATTTAAATGTTGTTTCCTTAGATTTAAAGTTGAAATTATCTATCAGAAGGTTTTATTGGAGTGGTCAAAGAATAAATCAGAAAGGATGGACTGTAGATTCTTGCTGTTGGACTTGTAAGAAATTTGAAGATACATTGGACTTTTCTTGTCCGGATTTCAGTTCTTTCTAGAAGAATACATTAAAATGCCAGTCTTTAAAATGTCAATGTTATTTTGAATTATATTCCAAAATTGTGGAACCTTACTCTTTTGCAGGAATATTGGTTATTCTTCCCAATATTGGTATCCTGGTAAAGTACCTTGAATATTGAAAACTGGATTAAAGAAATATGCAATTTCTCCATTTGAAAAAGATTATTTTTTTCTATTAATTAAAAAAAATTAAATAATGCATTTCTGACAGGAAAATGGCAAAACACATCTATTGGATATACTGGATTAACATAACAACCACATATTCACTTTAAAAAGTTTGTTTAACTTGCTTTATGACCATCATAAAAATGGTCATTAAACCAAGTCAGGTCATGTGGGAACATTTCTAATGATTTCCCCATCTTATAACTAAGTCTCCATGCCTAATTGTAATACTACCTATAATGTGAACATGTTTGGGGAAAAATGCATAGGAGACAGTAAAACCAAATAGAGTACCACACATTAGTGGCACTAAATTGGGAAGATAACAGAAACTATTTAGAGATCCAAGTACATCTCATCACGATCAGCCTATATTAGTACAATGGAAGTTTTTAGCCATCTTTAAATAAATACAGGCAAATTGTTGGATAGCGTAAATCAGAGGTCCCCAACCCCCTTGTAAGAAATTTCAAGATACATGAACTCATTTGACTTTTCTTGTCCAGATTTCAGTTCTTTCAAATTGTACAGACGCTTCACTGAAAGTCCACAAACTAAAAAAAAAAAAAGGGGGGGGAAGTCTTTCAATAGAATAAAACCAAGGCAGGGAACTGCTAGGCCGAAATTCATTACCTACAATTCTCCCGCTCGCTGCAATTTGTCACCTTTTACACTGAGTACTTCCTGAAAGCCTTCATGTTCAACATAGCAACGGTAGCGGTCCTCCTCCATGGGGTTAATGTCAATGCTGATCCAGGTGCAGTAGGTCCCGTCCCAATTACGGATGGGATCCCCACGAAAAGTCTCTTGATCCCAGTTCTCCCCATCCTTCATCCAGGTGGCATCTATGTCTTCAGGATAAAAGTTGCAGATAGAGCAGTTCAAGAGGGTCTCATTAACACTCAGCACATGAGTAGTTACTTCAGCTGAGGGGCCTGCAGAAACAGAAGCATCAGAAGACAGAGTCATTCCTATGGTTGGCAACGCAGGACAAAGTATATATCTGCTCCTATACGGGATATTCTCTATCCCTCATTGACGAAATACTTCAGATGTAAAAAATTCCAAAGAGATGTCTTGTAGAGAAATATGATTTTGCGTAGACTTCTGGCAAATAAACTGAGTGGAAATATTCAATGGGTGTCCAATGTCCAGAGTTAGTGATCTCTTGGACAGACTAGTTAAGGGTCCCCCAAACCCCCCAGGGCACGATCCACTACTGGGCCATGAGCCGTTCAGAGCTGTTTGGAAGTGGTAATTAACCATGCGCACACAGATCCCCACTTGCATGAGCAGGGGGCGAGATAGTACAGGTAGTCCTCAACTTAGTACCATAATTGAGCCCAAAATTTCTGTTGTTAAATGAGACATTTCTTAAGTGAATTTTCCCCCATTTTACAACCTTTCCTGCCACAGTTGTTAAAAAGTTAATCACTGCAGTTGATAAGTGAGTAACCCAGCTGTTAACTGAATCTGCTTTCCACATTGACTTGGTTTGTCAGAAGGTCACAAAAAGGGATCACATGACCCCAGGACACTGCAACCCTTATAAATATGAACCAGTTGCCAAGCATCTGAATTTTGACCACATGGGATGCTGCAATGGTGGTAAGTGTGAAAAATGGTCGTAAGTCACATTTTTCACTGCTGTTGTAACTTTGAACAGTCACTAAATGAACTGTTGTAAATTGAGGACTACCTGTACCTTTCCAGCTGGAACCCAGACTTTTTCTCTGTTGTGATTTCTCACCTGTTTTCTGCAAGACAAAATCCAGGGGGTCGCTGGAGCTGACATGTTCCACATGGCATCTGTAGAGTTTCCTCTCCTTGGGATTGATCTGAATACTCAGCCTGGCATTAAAAGTCCCATCTGAATTCGGGGCAATGTGCACAGAACTGTTGGTTTGGTTGAAGATTTCCCCATCCTTCCTCCAACTGACACTGATGTCCTTGGGATAGAAGCCATAGGCCTGGCAGGTGAGGGCTTGAAGGTTGTTGATGTTGACCTCCTGATGAGTCACTTTCACTATTGGAAGCTCTGCAAAGTAACAATGATGGCCTGTGGTGAAAGAACAGCCCTCTTCTGACTGATACAAGGATTCTAAACACAAATGGTGGAAAGTTTCCCAGAGGACCATCTACACTGGAGATTTTTAAGACTGGACAGCCATTGGTCTGAAATGATGTAGGATCTCCTGCTTGAGCAGTGGACCCCAATCTTTCGGGCACCAGGGACTGATTCTATGGAGAGAGGTTTTTCCACAAAGCGGAGGAGGCGTGGTTTCACGTACTGCCTGTATCCCACGGATGGGGCTTCACTTGTTTATGTGGCCCAGTTTCTGCAATGCTGCAGACTGATGCCAGTCCATCTTTTCTTTTCTATGGAAAATAGGTATCTCCCTCTCTCTGTCTCTCTCCCTCTCTCTCTCCCATCTCTCTCTCTCCCTCTCCACTTCTCAACACACACCCAGGGAATAACTAAGAAAATTCAACCACGTTATCTCTGTCTCTGGAAAGATACAAAAATAAACCTTGGGTTGCAAAAGGAGTGACAGACAGGCTGTAACATCACAGTGCCATGAGGTTGCCATTTTAGATCACTGCACACACTTCAGAGAAGCATCTTCCTGATATAAATGATTAATTATATAAGTATGTATAAATATGTGATGAGCAGAATATTATGTTAGTGATGAATTGATATTGTGGACTGGACAAGGATCGAGGTAGAAGAAATGACAATTATACAGAAGAAGAAAGAACTTTGGAAGATAACACTGAGATGTCACAGGGAAGAGAAAACTGATGTATTAAATATTTGTTTGTTTAAAAAATAAAAAACTTTTTTTTTAAAAAAAGAGAAGCATTATCCTAAGCAGCAGCACACTCACAGAGGCACACATACGCATCCTGCAACTCAGTCCAAAGTGGCCGGAAAATATAGACATCCCCGAAGACGCTTGGCAGGCAAAGTATGGGATGAAACTCCCCCCCCCCATCACCAAGGCAGTGTCTGCTGAATCTTATCTAGATCCGTTCCAGTCGGGTTTCAGGTCTGGGCACAGCACGGAAACGGCATTGGTCGCGTTGGTTGATGATCTCTGGAGGGCTCGGGACAGGGGTTGCTCCTCTGTTCTGGTCCTGTTAGACCTCTCAGCGGCTTTTGATACCATCGACCATGGTATCATGCTGCACCGGCTCGAAGAGTTGGGGGTGGGAGGCACCGTATTGCGGTGGTTCTCCTCCTTTCTCTCCGACCGGTCGCAGTTTGTGTTGGCAGGGGGGCAGAGGTCGACCTCGAGGCCTCTCGTCTGTGGAGTGCCGCAGGGATCGGTCCTCTCGCCCCTTCTGTTCAACATTTATGTGAAGCCGCTGGGCGAGATCATCTGTGGCTTCGGGGTGAGATACTATCAGTACGCTGATGACACCCAGCTGTACATCTCCACCCCAGGCCACCCCAACGATGCCCTCGAAGTGATGTCTCAGTGCCTGGAGGCTGTGCGGATCTGGATGGGGAGGAACAGGCTCAAGCTCAACTCTTCCAAGACTGAGTGGCTGTGGCTCCCGGCATCCCGATATAGTCAGTTGACTCCATCCCTGACTATTGGGGGCGAGTCCTTGGCCCCCACAGAAAGGGCTCGCAATCTGGGAGTCCTCCTGGATATGCAGCTGTCCTTGGAGGAACATCTGACAGCTGTAACCAGGGGGACCTTTTATCAGGTTCGCCTGATTCGCCAGTTGCGGCCCTTTCTTGATCGGGATTCCCTGTGCACAGTCACTCACGCCCTCGTCACCTCCCACCTTGACTACTGCAATGCTCTCTACATGGGGCTCCCCTTGAGGGGCACCCGGAGGCTCCAGCTGGTCCAGAATGCAGCAGCGCAGGTAGTGATGGGAGCAGCATGGCGCTCCCATGTAACACCACTCCTGCGCGAGCTGCACTGGCTTCCAGTGGTCTTCCGGGTGCGCTTCAAGGTGTTGGTTATCACCTTTAAAGCGCTCCATGGCATAGGGCCTAGCTATCTGCGAGACCGCCTGCTGCTACCGACGACCTCCCAGCGACCCGTGCGCTCCCACAGAGAGGGCCTCCTCAGGGTGCCATCAGCCAAACAATGTAGGCTGGTGACCCCCAGGGGGAGGGCCTTCTCTGTGGGGGCACCTACCCTCTGGAACCAGCTGCCCACAGAGATAAGGAGAATCCAAGACCTCAGTGCCTTCCGCCGTGCCCTTAAAACCCACTTTTTCCAGCAAGCCGGGCTGGCTTAGGAAGAAATTTTTTAAAATTTTTAAATGTTTAATTGGTTTGTGGTTTTTAAATTTTGGGCCAAATTTATATAGATTTTAATTGTTTTTAATATTTGTATTTCATGTTTTTAACTCTGGCTGTGCACCGCCCTGAGTCCTCAGGGAGAAGGGCGGTATATAAATTGAAAAATAAAATAAATAAAATAAAATAATCCTTGCAAAAAGGTGAAGAGAAGAGAGCAGAGTCGAATAGAGCCGAATCTGTCTCCCTCTCTCTGTCTCTCTCTTGCTGCACAACTGCAGCAGGAAATGGCGGGCAGCTACTTAGGGCTTTGTTGCTGCTGGATGCGCAACCTGCTCTCCACCCTGAGAGAGAGGGAGTTGCCAGGGGCTAGTGGGGCAGGGAATGGGCTCCAGGAGGAGGAGGGGACCCAGTTTTCCCCATTGTGAAGTGCACTTTCACTGTGCTGCTACAAGAGCACAGGAAGGCCATGGAGGGGATATTGGGTCTTCCCCCTGCCTCACGCCAAAGGAAAGCCAGCCGGGCTTCTCCTTCCCTCCTAATCTTCCCCCTGTTCCCTTCCCCCCACTAAATCCTACTTCAGGACAGAGAAGCACACACTGGAAACGCATGATGGGGCGACATCAGAGCATGCCTTCTGACCCTTCAGCGCTCACCCACAACCCTCTGCGCTCCTCCAGGCCCGGCTTGCTGAGGGGGGGAGCAGCCCTGATGCCTCTGCTTCAGGGGTGAAATGCTACTGCTTTGCTCCTGTTCAGGCGAACCGGTAGTGATTAAAACTACCGGTTCGAGTGAACCGGTTGTTTAAAAAGCTACCGGTTTGGGCGAACTGGTAGTTAGCTACTGGTTCAATTGAACTGGTAGTTTTAAAAAGCTACTGGTTCCTCTGAACTGGCATTTCCAACAATCAGCAGTGCTGCGGGGTTTAGCTTCACTAGAAAGCAGGAAATCCTGTTTTCTAGCGAAGCTAAATCATGCAGCACAGCTGATCCCCCGCTTGCTGTTCTACTTACCTTCCCAAGCCTCCTTTTGGTGCGCAGCACACATGTGTGGCCAGCGAACTGGTAGCAAACCAGTTCAGATTTCACCACTGCTCTGCTTCCCCACTCCACCCCCCACACGGCCCCAGCCATCCCTGCCCAGGAAAGCACAGGAAAAGAAAGCAAGCAGAAACATAGCTATTGCTGGGCTGAAAGAGCTGAGATCAGGGAAGGCACAGAGAACAGAAAGCGGCATGTTTCAAAGGCAGCAGCTCACATCTGGAGGTGCCGAACAGCATCCCACTGTGAGAGCTGGGCCACACCTCTCTGCCATCTAACTCACCAATAGTGGCGCTTGTGCTGGGGCATCTCCCGCTCCCGCTGGGCTATTGTGCTCAGCGCTCAGTGGGGGAGGGGAGCCCTTCCTCTTGCCCCTCCCTTCTTTCTCTTGGCCCCACCAACAAGGGAGGAGGAAGGCCAGGCTTGGGGGATGGCCCTCACTCTGCAAGATCCACCCCTGCTGTTCTCTCCCAGCCCACTTTGCTAGCATCAACAGCAATGTACCACGATGAAAGCGGAATTTATTATTTTTATTTTTATTTTATTAGGCTTATATGCCGCCCTATCTCCAGTGGACTCAGGGCGGCTCACAACAATAAAAACCACAATCCATAATACAAGTAAAATGCCTAATTAAATCAGATAAAACTAAAAACACATAAAAAACCCCATCAGTCCAGGCCGGGGGACTCGAATAACCAAGTTTTCAATTTGCGGAGAAAGGTGCAAAGGTCAGGGGCCAGCCGAAGCCCCAAGGGAAGTTGATTCCAGAGGGTGGGCGCGCCCACAGAGAAGACTCTACCCCTGGGGGCTGCCAGCCGACATTGTCTCGCCGACGGCACCCTGAGCAGGCCCTCCCTATGGGCGCAAACCGGGCAATGGGATGTTGTTGCTGGCTGCAGGTGGTCCGCCAAATATCCTGGGCCTAAGCCATGTAGGGCTTTATAGGTCATCACCAGCACCTTGAATCTCACCCGGAGGGCAACCAGTAACCAATGCAGGTCGCGCAGGAGGGGTGTTACATGGGAGTATCAGGATTCTCCTATCACAACCCGCGCATCCACATTTTGCACAAGCTGAAGCCTCCGAGTGGTCCTCAAGGGCAGCCCCATGTAGAGAGCGTTACAGTAGTCACTATGATGTTGCCATGCAAAGGGAAGCGCAAGGGTGCTTCGTTCCCACACTAAGGCTCCGGCCATGCCACTGCTGTGATAGGGTGATGGCTCTTTCATCCTTCTGCTGCGACAGGGTGACAGGGAGCCACAGGTTGCTGACTCCTGGCATTAGAAGATCTCCAAGGTCCCTTCCAACTCTGTTATTCTGTATTCTAGAGGTCATAACACTCTATGTAACTGCCTCCTTGCAAGTGTCCATCATTTGGGATTGAACGATTGTGAATGCTGCACAATCCAGATGTAAGTTGGGCACAAGGAACACTCCAATTCCCTTCCCCCAAATGCCAGCAGCATCATTTAGAAGCAGTACAAGCTTACCCCCTCCCTACCCAATGTGGGGATTATTTATATTAGGGTTTTATCTTTGTAAGCTGTCCAGAGCCACTGAGAGTAAGTTGGGGAGCCATATAAATTTTCTAAGTAAATAAATGCAGAACAAAGGAGGATTGGCATTACCAAAAACATGGGCAAACTTTGCAAATGGGGAGAAAGAGGCAGCTGTGATACCCCCCCACACATACACATATACATACATCAAGCATGCAACTACACTATTAATTTGAAACCAAATCCCAGCAAAGAGAGCAAGCAGCATTTCAAGTGTTAAAATAATTATTTGTTTCTCAGTTTTCCCTCCTTTTCTTTTTTTTCCCCAGACATGACCAAGATCAAACCCAGTTCTTCTGTTTACTAAATACCATCAGACCCAAATTTATGCTTTGATTGTTCGATATTGTGCTTTTTAAGATATTGTACGCCACCAGATATTTCTGCAAATGATGTGGTATAGTGGAGAGATGCCAGAGGGGAAGGTACCATTTCATACTGGGTTGGCATTTTTAAATATCATTAATGTATAAGAAATTATTTCTGCAATTAAAATGTTTTCCGGTGGAAGATAGATTTAGTTCCAAAATTTTTTTGCTTTCCTAACTACATGGTATAAAAGCAGAAGGGACATTTTTAAAAAAAATCTGAGCTGTTTACAACTATCATAATTTCTTGTTTGACTCCAGAGCCTATCATTGAAAGTTTAAGAGGAAGGTTTAAAAAGGGAAGAATGGACTTCCGGTCTGGAACCGCAGTGACACAGTTGGGGGAATGGCGGGCTCTAACGAGCCCGCGAAAACCCCAACTGATGATCCATTCTCCAATCGGTCTTGGACCGACCCCATCCTGTAGGGATGGGGGGAGAAGAAGAGCACCTCGTTGGGCCAAGAGGAACAGGCAAGTTCCTCGGAGGCCAGAGGAAATCCTCTAAGTTGGAGATGGGGGTACGCAGCCATGGCGGCTGTTGCAAAACGGTGGCAGACCGGGAAAAAGATTGTGCTGGAGAGAAGAGGAGAGAGCAATACCTTGAAACTGGGTGAGTGACACCAACCCAGGCAAAGCAACAGAATTAAATGGATTAAAAAATAAGACCCCAAGCCTTAAATAGCAGCTGCATATTTATGGGGCTTGAAGATTAAGGGAAAAAAAAAACTTTTTGGAGACAAAGACCCATGATAGACTTTGAAATTCGATTTGGAATAATTGGCACTTAATAATTTCAAAATTGGATTCTTTCTTTTTTTACTTATTTGGAGTTGATTGGAGAAATGTTATTCTGGGAATTTACACCTTTAGAAAGTTAATGAGACTAATGAAGAGTGACAGACGGGTGGCTACATAATTGCCATGGAGTCTAAGCAGGAGAGTGGATTAAAGAGATTTCTCTTTCGTTTGGAAAAGAAACATTGTAAATGGCTTTATATCTTTGACTATTTTGAAATTAACATTAAATTTATGGATTTTGGAGATTCCTACTCTGTCCCTGGGTGATCCTATGAAGAAAGAAAAAATATTTTGGATTTTTCACAATGGAATTTAACAAGCCTAGCAAAAAAAACTGGGTGCAGCATAGGAACAAAGACAGGAAGTTGATGCATCACACATGGACCAGACATTCCAAAAGCATTAAAGTGATATACACAATTTTTAAATTGAGCAGATAGACTTTTGAAGTGGAACAGCTGGACAGAAAGGAGAAGGAACGAAAAAGAAGATAAAATCAAATGTAATTAAATTGAAATGTAATGTTTAAAAGCTTAAAGGTATAAATGATTTTTAGATAAAAACTGGAGGGGTTTTGGAGTAATAAAAATAGAAAATAAGAGACGGTAATCAAAATAGAGGATTGAGATAAAGGTGGCTAAAAATATTAAAGAAGAGTATATACAAATATGAGATAACTTTAAGAAAAATAAATGTTTGATGTAATATGTTTTGACTTTAACTTGTAAGCAATGTTAGATTGGTAAATGTTTAATTATGGTTTTATTGAATGAAACAAGAAGGTACACAGATCTTAGTAACAAAGTGTGATTTAATCTAAAATATGCTGGAAATGATTATTATGAAACATATTGAGAACTAATTTGAAAAAGTATGTTGGGAAACTGACATGAAATAGATAATTATATTGCAAGGGAAAATTAAAAGAAGAGGTGATGGGCACCAACTAGTTAAGAGTTTGAGACTCGGGAGAAATATGTTGGAAACTAGTTAAAATGCTGGAAATCAGCTAAACAATGGTAGGAGAGTTGGAGGAGAATATGCTGGAAATCAGCCAAATAATGGTGGGAGTTTTGGAGGAGACTATGCTGGAAATCAGCCAAATATAATATGCTGGAAATCAGCCAATAAAATGCTGGAAATCAGCCAAGCAACAGGAGGAGAGTTGGAGGAGATATGCTGGAAATCAGCCAACATAAAATGCTGGAAATCAGCCAATAATGGTGGGAGGCTCAGAGGAGAATATGCTGGAAATTAGCCAAAATAGTGGGTGCTCTGAAGGAGATTAGACTGGAAATCAGCCAAACACAATATGCTGGAAATTAGCCAAATAATAGAAGGAGGTATGGAGGAAATCATGTTAGTAATTAGTTTAAACAAATTTTTTGGGATGAATCTGTGTAATTTGAAATGTGTAAAAGTAATGATAAAATTTAAAATATCAAGATTTGATGGAATGGGTCAAGAGTTTAAGAAATGTAGTTAGAATTTTGTTGTATAAATGGTAAGAAAAATGGAGATGTATTGAATTTGAAATTAAGATTTGAGGTGATAAAATTGTGGTTAATAATTAGAATAAGATATTAGAATATTGTTAAAAAACATTTTGCAACTGATGGTAAAAGAGATGATAAAGACAACTGATATAAGCAGGATTGATACTTAGACACAAATGAGAAATTAAAATTGTATTGATATAATAGATATATATAGATAAGGATGTTAGAATCTATGTTAAAATTTATTCTTCTTATGTTTTGAACTTTTACCTTTTAAAGATGTAATGGGAATTGTGAATGGAGTCTGTTAAAGGAATGTAAGCGTGGTAACCATCTATGACTGGATCGAGTTTTTGCTCTTAAAAGTTATATTTTATGCTTATGTTTGAAAAATAATAAAAAATATTTACAAAAAAAAAAAAAAGGGAAGAATATGGAAGGGTTGCTTTCTGCCCCCTGCCAAGCCTACCTTTCTTTTGTTGCTTCATGTCCAGGTACCTATTTAGCCACCGAATGCAATTTCCGTTCAAGTATTGTCTTTTTTGATGAAATACCTCTCCCTTCATCCTTTTTCCATCAAGAGCATCCTGATGAATTTGTATTTCGTCTCCATCAGCTGTGAGTTTACAGCCCTCGATGCACTGCAAGGTATGATCTGAGAAATAGATATTTATAAAAGATTGAAGCAGAAACAAAAGAAACAGCACTTTTTTCTTCTAATTGTAGGTCTAGAACAGTAGTGAAATATAAAATTTGTTACTACCGGTTCTGTGGGCGTGGCTTGGTGGGGGGTAATGTGACTGGGAGGGCGTGGCCATTTTATTTTTTTTTTTACTTTTAAAAGCATTTTTTCTACAACCTCTTTGGCTGAAGAGGTTGTAAAAACAATGCTTTTAAAAGGCTTTGACGATCTCAGCTGAGCCGCACAATCATCAGAGGCTTTTTTTATTACTTTTAAAAGCATTTTTTCAGCCGAAGAGGTTGTAGAAAAATGCTTTTAAAAGTAAAAAAAAAAAGCCTCTGATGATCACGCAGCTCAGTTGGGCATGGGGGGGGCAGGGATTTTTGCTACTGGTTCTCCGAACTACCCGCTGCCATCGCTACCGGATCAGGCGATCCAGTCCAAATCGGAAGCATTTCACCCCTGGACTAGAACATTACCTCCATTACATGTGGAAGGTCATATTTATGCTAGCAAAAGTGGCATATCGAAACTTGTCCAGCTTGTAAAAAACATTAAATTCCTAGATTTTACATTGTATGAGCTACTGAAGGAATGTTTTATGTAAGGAATTGGAAACCTGAAAAATACAAGTAGACCTCCACTTACAACAGTTCATTTAGTGATCCTTCAAAGTTACAATGGCACTGAAAAAAGTGACTTATAACAATTTTTCACACTTATGACCCTTGCAGCATTCCCATGGTCAGGTGGCCAAAATTCAGATGCTTGGCAACTGACACATATTTATGACTGGTGCAGTATCCTTGAGGTCAGGTGATCACCTTTTGTGACCTGACAAAAAATCAATGGGAAAGCCACATTTACTTAACAACCATGTTACTAAACAACTGCAGTGATCCACTTGACAACTGTGGCAAGAAAGGTTGTAAAATGGGACAAAATTCACTAAACAACTGTTTCGCTTGGCAACAAAAATTTTGGGGTCAATTTTTTGATCCTCCCTCCATCTAGCTTGGAGCTGACCATACTGAAACCAAGTATAAATTATCCCTTCTTCTTTTAATTCATCTAGAGATTTCAATTGCAGCTTGCCCCTTTCCAAAAGAAGAAGCTCTTTATAAGTAATCACCTCTATTTTTTGCTCTGTACTTATATTTTCTATTACATGTCTGGGATTTGCCCATATAGGTATCTTGTAGTTCAGCATATATTGATACTTTTTCCAAATCCTCAGCAATGCATTTCTAAGTATATGACCCTTAAACATTTTATCCACTTTTTTTTCATACAACAAATAAGCATGCCATCCGTATAACAAATCATAACCTTCTATGTTTAACATTCTTTCTTCAGTTAAGTTAAACCAATCACTAATTTGTGATAAAGCTGCTGCTTCATAATACAATCTTAAGTTAGGCATTTTAAGACCTCCTCTCTCACATATATCTGTATAATTTTCAGTTTCACTCTTGGTTTCTCCCCAGTCCAAATAAAAGTATTAACCCCTTTCTGCCATTCCATCAGATTTCCATCTTTTTTAAGCACTGGTATCATTTGAAACAAAAATAAAAACCTAGGTAATACATTCATTTTTATTGCTGCTATCCTTCCCAGTAGTGATAGTTGTAACTTTTTCCATTTTTCCATTTCTTTCTGTACTTTTTGCCAGAGAATTTCATAATTATTTTTATACAATTTCGTATTTGAGGCTGCAATATATACTCCTAAATACTAAACCTTTTTAACTACTTCAAACCCCGTTATCCTCCCTAACTCTTCTCTTTGAGTTATAGATAAGTTTTTAGTTATCATCTTTGTCTTATGTAGATTTACTTTGAATCCAGATACTTTACCATATTGAGCTACTATATCCAACATATAGGGAGCCGTTTCTATAGGTTGAGATAAAGTAAGAACAAGGTCGTCTGCAAATGCTCTTAATCTATAATCCTACTGTCTAATTACAATTCCTTTTATTTTGTCAGAATCACGTAGCTTATTCAACAAACTTCTAAAGTTAAAATAAACAGCAATGGCGACAAAGGACAGCCCTGCCTCGTACCTTTCTCAATTTTAAACACATCTGTTAAACCTCCATTAATTATTATTTGTGCTGTTTGTTCCTAATATATTGCTCTAATTGAATGTATGAAATACTCCCCAAAGTGCATTTTTTCTATTATTTTAAACAGAAATTGCTAGTTCAGTCGATCAAATGCTTTCTCTGCATCCACGAATATAAACGCTGCAGGGATCTGATTATTTTTCTCCAAATATTCCAATAAGTTTATAATTTGCCTAACATTATATTTCATCTGTCTCCCTTTTATAAAACCTGATTAATCATTGTGAATAACTTGTTGCATAACTGGCATTAATCTATTCAATAATATCTTAGCAAAAATTTTGTAATCGTTCAAAAGTGAGATTGGCGTAAAATTTTCAGGTTTGGTACAATTTTGATCTTTCTTCAGAATCAATGAAACAAAAGCTGTTCTCCAAGAGGGTGGAACTCCTCCCCCTGATTGAATTTTACAAAATAGAGTTCTAAGCGGCTCTACCATTTCAAGCTGTAAGTTCTTATAATAAACAGCTGTTAGTCCATCTGTTCCCGGAGCTTTCCCTATTTTTAACTGCTTAATTGCCGCAACAATCTCCTCAGAAGTTATTGGCTGATTCAATCCTTCCCTCTGTTCCAACCTTAGTTCCCAAATATTCCCTTCCTTTAAATATCTATCTATATCTATACCTTGTATTGAGTCACTAGCATATAGCTTTGTATAAAATTCCAAAAAAGCCTTTTTAATCAAATTCTGTTGGTAAACTTCCTTACCTCTGTATTCTATCCTACTAATGACTCGTGCTTTCTGTTTTTTCCTCAACATGTAGGCCAACCACCTACCTGGTTTATTAGAATTACAAAATGTATTATGTTTGGCATATTGTAAACTAGTTGCCACCTGATCAGCCATTAACATATTGAATTGCCCTCGTAGTATGTTTATTGTTTCTTTCACTTTCTTATCTCCTGGATTAGATATAAGTAATTGTTCTTTCTTTTTTATTTCTTCCTCTATCTCTTTACGCTTCTTCTGTTGTTTTAATCTATATTTATTATTCATATGTATTAAGATACCCCTCATATAAGCCTTACTAGCATCCCAGACCATTTCCATAGGAGTACCCTTATTCATGTTAATAACAAAAAATTCTCTCATTTGTTTTTTAAGCTCCTTTACATTTTCTTCATATCTAAATAAGTTTTCATTCAACCTCCAAGACCTCCTTTCTCCCCTCTCCTGTTCAAATTCAGTCCAGACTGGACTATGATCAGTTAAAGTTCTTGGACATATTTTCGTCTTCTTCACCCTAGAAATAAAATCATTTGTGATTAGTATAAAATCAATCCTGGAGAAGGATTGATGTCTATCAGAAAAAAAAGTAAAATCTTTTTCCTCCAGGTTACATTCTCTCCAGATATCTCTCAATTCTATATCTTCCATCATATCAAAAAAGGATTTAGGTAGTTTTGCACGTGCTGAAGTCTTTGATAGGCTTTTTTTATCTTTCTGCGTCTCAATTACTCCATTCCAATCACCCTCATTTCTCAACTCATTTACCAGAAAGCCAAAGTCTTTCCTGCTTCTCAACATCTTTGGAGGAATCTCTTTCAAAACCACCACCTCCTGCCCAGCCAACTGAACTTTATTCTTGTAAGAAGCTTGTAGAATTTCATTTCTGATCCTCCTAGTTGTAAAGTAAATCACCACATCTCATGGCAGCTGTCTTTGTTTTGCCAACCAGGAATTAACCCTGTAAATTTTATCAATTTGAATTGCCACATCTTCTGGGCTTTCTTTAATTATCTCAGCCATAGCATCAGCACAAATGTCTTTTAAATTTTCTTTGCTATTTTCCTTCAGGCCTCTCAGTCTCAGAGCAAACTCCATAGATCTGTATTGTAACATTACCAATTCATCATCCACTTTTTCTATTCTGGTCATGACATCACCCATTTTGCTCTCCAGATTTAAATTGGCTTCATTAATTTCTTCAACTTTCCCATCAAGCTGGATAACAAGATTTGAGAGTCCTGTTACAGCAAAAACAATATCATCTCTTATTTTATCATGCTCCTTTACAACTGCTCCCTTGATCGAACCTATGTCTTCCTCTATTTTTTTATTTTATTTATTTTATTTTGTTTTGAATTTGTATACCGCCCTTCTCCCTGAGGACTCAGGGCGGTGAACAGCCAAGTAAAAACATCAAATACAAATATTAAAATACAATTAAAAGATATATATAAATTTGGCCCCATTAATTAAAAACGATAAACAAAACAATTAAAAACACTTAGAAAAAAAAATTAGGCCAGCCTGGCTTGCTGGAAAAAGAAGGTTTTAAGGGCACGGCGGAAGGCACTGAGGTCTTGGATTCTCCTTATCTCTGGGGGCAACTGATTCCAGAGGGGAGGTGCCCCCACAGAGAAGGCCCTCCCCCCTGGGGGTCACCAGCTTGCACTGTTTGGCTGATGGCACCCCGAGGAGGCCCTCTCTGTGGGAGCGCATGGGTCGATGGGAGGTCGTCGGTGGCAGCAGGCGGTCTCGAAGATAGCTAGGCCCTATGCCATGGAGCGCTTTAAAGGTGATAACACCTTGAAGTGTACCCAGAAGACCACCGGGAGCCAGTGCAGCTCACACAGGAGCGATGTTACATGGGAGCGCCATGCTGCTCCCGTCACTACTCGCGCTGCTGCGTTCTGGACCAGTTGGAGCCTCCGGGTGCTCTTCAAGGGGAGCCCCATGTAGACAGCATTACAATAGTCCAGGCGGGAGGTGACGAGGGCATGAGTGACTGTGTGTAGGGAGTCCCGATCAAGAAAGGGCCGCAACTGGCGAATCAGGCGAACCTGACAAAAGGTCCCCCTGGTTACAGCCATCAGATGTTCCTCCAAGGACAGCTGCGTA